CCTGCAGCCCCATCCCCTCCTGCATCTGCATCCCCTCCTGCAGCCCCGTCTCCTCCTGCATCTGCATCCCCTCCTGCAGCCCCATCTCCTCCTGCAGCCCCATCTCCTCCTGCAGCCCCATCCCCTGCATCTGCATCTCCTCCTGCAGGTTACCTGAACGTGCTGGTGAACAGCCAGTGGAAGTCTCGCTGGTGCTCTGTCAGGGACAATCACCTGCACTTCTACCAGGACCGGAACCGGAGCAAGGTGGCCCAGCAACCCCTCAGCCTGGTGGGCTGCGAGGTGGTCCCAGACCCCAGCCCTGACCACCTCTACTCCTTCCGCATCCTCCACAAGGGCGAGGAGCTGGCCAAGCTTGAGGTACCACTGGCCTGTGGGGCAGGGAGCAGGGCCAGCCAGGGTGTGGTGGTGGTGGCTGTTTGCTGCCAGTCTCCAGGACTGTAATCCTACCAAGGAAGAATCAATGTCGCCGCGCGTGTTATTTTTACTTCCTTTGTCTGAGATTGTTTGCATTTTTAAAAATTTCCATTCCTTTTCTGATCTCAGGGTGGTTGTGCTATATGAGTGGGACCATGAGCTACTTCCTGCACTTAGGGCAGGAGTATTTATAACTCTCTAAGCTGCTGGGAATTCAAAGTGGGTGCTGTTTTGTTTGGGTGTCACCAGTTGGGAGAGCCTCTAGGCCCAGTACATAAAAACTACACTGTTCGAGCTTATCTGGGGGAAAAAATTGCTTTGTGATACAATTACATTCCTCTCACTCCCCACCCTCTGTTTGATGTGATGTTACATTTACAAAAATAAGAAGTGACATAATGCCTCACAGGCGTCGGCAGGCAGAGACCGAGTCCCTTCCACTCCTGGAAGCACACACTTGCCCACGAATGCCCCGTTCACTTAGTCTTTGAGGAGGAGGTCCCCATCCAAACCTTGTTCCAATCCTGCCCTCTGGTGGCTGAAAGACCTACATCGCAATTGTTTCCCAGGGCCCAGTTTATAGCTTATATTCATTCATCCATTCATCCCTTCCCCATCAGTAAACATGTCCTCAGCACAGGAATATGGTGGACAAGAACAATAGGAGCTCCCTGTCCTTGTGGCACGTACGTCCTAGTTTGGGAGTGTGATGTTACTCAGCAAATCACCCAACTGGCCAGGAGAGGTGGCTCACACCTGTGATCCCAGCACTTTAGGCAGCCAAGGCGGGCGGATTACCTGAGGTTAGGAGTTTGAGACCAGCCTGACCAACATGGAGAAACCCAGAACTTACTAAAAATACAAAATTAGCCGGGCATGGTGGCGCATGCCTGCAATCCCAGCTACTCAGGAGACTGAGGCAGGAGAATCACTTGAACCCGGGAGGCAGAGGTTACCGTGAGCCGAGATCACACCACTGCACTCCAGCCTGGGCGACAGAGCAAGATTCTGTCTAAAAAAATTAATAACTGGGAAAAGGAAACCAACTAAATGTCAAATTCTGCTCATCATGGCCTCTTTGATGAATGTAGCAGCAAATGTTCTGGAGCTATGGGTTATACCAAAGGGGGCTGATTCTCCTCATGAGAGTAAACCTGTAGCTTTTATAAAATGTGCAGTTTTTTTCTCATTATAAAGGTAAGAAACCATGTTGACATTTTAATAGAGGTACCCAATGTATAAATTAGATTAGAATGCATTGTCCCCTGGGAAAAAATTACCAGATTCACTGGGATTTAGATCATGATTTAGTAGCTGAGCTGGTGTAAGGCATTTACGATGTCCTGACTTTACTGAAGCCATGAACAAAAATAAATTTGAGTATTGTTTCTTAGGGATCCAGGCAGTCTTGTTGTGTATGGGACTAGGGTGATAAGATGACATGCATTGTTCATAAAATACAAGTGTCAAAAGACACACAATTTTTAATAATCATTTAAACTATTAACAGGTGATCACTTTAACAATTTTTAATAGTAATCACCTGGTGATAACTAACAGTTTTCACCTCCCGGAGACACAATGTATATAAATCACATATAGCCCTCGGGACAAAAGTCCACAGCATTATTGAGGTGGCATCAAGATGTCACTGACAGGGGCCAGGCACGGTGGCTCACGCCTGTAATCCCAGCACTTTGGGAGGCTGAGGCGGGTGGATCTCAAGGTCAGGGGTTAGAGACCAGCCTGGCCAATAAGGTGAAACCCCATCTCTACTAAAAATACAAAAATTAGCTGGGCATGGTGGTGTATGCCTGCAGTCATAGCTACTCAGGAGGCTGAGGCAGGAGAATTGCTTGAACCTAGGAGGTGGAGGTTGCGTGAGCTGAGATCATGCTACTGCACTCCAGCCTGGGTGACAGTGAGACTCCGTCTCAAAAAAAAAAAAAAAGAAGTCACTGACAGGAAATGTCATTTAGGGCCACTAGGGGGTGGGAAATGTTGGTGATTAGGAGGAGCATGGCCCCAGGCTGTCCTAGGGGCTTTCGTGGGTGGGTTTGGGGATAGAGGTATGGGCATGGCCTGGTGGGGAGGGGCTGGCACCAGGGAGCACAGCCCAGCCCAGCCCAGCCCTGCTCATGTCTCTCTCGGCCTCGTTCCAGGCCAAGTCTTCCCAGGAAATGGGCCACTGGCTGGGTCTCCTGCTGTCTGAATCAGGCTCCAAGACAGACCCAGAAGAGTTCACCTATGACTATGTGGATGCCGACAGGGTTTCCTGTATTGTGAGTGCAGCCAAAAACTCTCTCTTGTGAGTAATCTGGGCCCTTTCTCGGTACACTCTCCCATTCCTGGCCATGCTGTAGGCCCTGGGTCAGCCGGAGCCAGGGGTAGCAGAGAGCATGGGGTTCCACTCTGCTCTGCCTGCAGGGAAGCTGCAAAGCCCAGGAGCAGCCCTCAGGAGGCCCGGCCCAGAGCCAGGAGCTGAGCTGAGAGCCAGGAGCTGAGCCAGGCTCCGGGCCCCTAGGGCGGTGCTGGCATCCTTAGCTGCAGCTGGACTCTCCAGCTCCTCCAGGCAGTGCTGTCACCTTTCCTGGCCTCTTCCTCCCAGTGAATCCCTCACTGGGTCTTCAGCACACCCTGGAGAAAAGCAGGTCGGGGGTAGTACTTCTGTTTCCAGATGAGCAAACTGGGGCTGAGGGAGAGGTGTTTTCTGGTCAGGGTAGGAGGGTCAGTCTAGTGGAAGCCGGCTGAGCCACTGAAACACAATCCGTTTTCTCATGGACCAAACGGAGATAGTGTCTGGCCTGCATGGCCCTGAGTGTATTGTGAAGATTAAATGAGAAGAGATTTTCGTTGTGGTTGCTGGAAGAAGATCCTAGAAGGGAGGAACTGGGGAGAAGATGGATGGCAAAGGGATCCTAGGAGGAGGGCATGACAAGGGAAGGCTGTCTTTCTGGGAGGAAAATCTGGAACCAAGAATTCCAGGAAGGCGGCACTGGGAAAAGAGGGAGGAGGCACCCTCAGATCCATGGAGGTGGGTGTCCGCTCCAGAACTCTTGTGCGGCCACCGCTTTCACGGCAATCACTCATCACTGGGGATTCTTGGAGCCTGGTGCTTTCACCACCCTGTCCCAGGTGCTTCACGCCTGCCACCTTGCCCTGTTTCTAGACTGATGCAGAGAAAGTTCTCAGAGCCCAACACTTACATCGATGGCCTGCCTAGCCAGGACCGCCAGGAGGAGCTGTATGATGACGTGGAACTGTCGGAGCTCACAGCTGTGGTAAGGACCTGGCCAGGCAGTGACTTGGGGCTCTCCAGACTTCCTCCTGCAAACCTCAACGCCTGGGTGCCAGAGATCATTAGAGTGTCCCTGAGATCAGCAAGTTCTGAATCATCTACCAGGCCATTAGTGCAGACACCTGAGTGTAGCAAGGCTGTCTCTTATATGCGAGGCTGTGCAGTTTGCTTGGCTTGGGGACTTATCTAGATGAAACACCATGGACCACTCTGGTCAGGGCTAGGGGTGTGGTGGTGGAATTGGGAGTGGAGGCACCAGTAGGCTTCTGGGTCCAAATCGGTCGTTGAGGTGTGATGATCACACGGATGGCAGCTTGCATGTGCTGGGCACTGACCCCTGGCTGAGCTGGGGACCTCCTGCAGATGATCTTCAATCCTAACCACCTGATGGGAAGGTGCTGCTATTTTCCTCCTTACAGATGAGGAACTTATAAGGTTCAGGGAAGTGAAGTGCTGTGTCTGGATCTTCCACCTCGAATGGCACATCCAGGACTCAACCAGTGCCCCCCCCTAGGAGGCAGGGAGATCTCTGGGAATATCGTGAGGTGGGCACAGGAGCTATGAGGCAGGGCTGGTGCCCCCTCCACAGCTAGGGAGCAGACGTAATGGTGCATGCCTGCAACTCTTCTCTCTCCTGCAGGTGGAGCCTACCGAGGAAGCCATCCCTGCTGCGGATGACCCAAATAAGAGAGAATCTGACCGAGTATACCTGGACCTCACACCTGTCAAGTCCTTTCTGCACGGCCCCAGCAGTGCACAGGCCCAGGCTTCCCCGACCTTGTCCCGCCTGGACAATGTGACTGAGTCCCTCCCTGCAGATCCAGACCCAGGTCCCACCCCAGATGAGCCCTGCATAAAGTGTCCAGAGAACCTGGAGGAGCAGGTGAAGACCCTCCCCTGAAGGTGAGCCGGACCACCTCCCCAGCCCCATCAGCCACTAAGTTGTGTCTGCTTTCTCCCAAAGCAGCTGGAGAGTTTGGAGCCTGAGGAGCCTTCCCTGAGAATCCCCACTGTCAAAATCCAGACTGAACAGCAGAGAATCTCCTTCCCACCAAGCTGCCCCGACACCCTGGTGGCCACCCCGCCTGGTGCCAGCCCACCTGTGAAGGACAGGTTACGCGTGACCAGTGCAGGTACTTGTGCTTGGGGAAGTTACCCAATTCCATTGGTATTAGTCAGGGTTCTCTAGAGACACAGAACTAACAAGATAGATGTATATATGAAGGGGAGTTTATTAAGGAGAACTGACTCACATGATCACAAGGTAAAGTCCCATGATAGGCCTTCTGCGAGTTGAGGAGCAAGGAAGCCAGTGGATCAGTCCAAGTCCCAAAACCTCAGAAGTAGGGAAGCTGACAGTGTAGCCTTCAGTCTGTGGCCAGAGGCCCGAAAGCCCCTGGCAAACCACTGTAAGTCCAAGAGCCCAAAAGCTGGAGAACTTGGAGCCTGATGTTCAAGGGCAGGAAGCATCCAGCACGTGAGAATGACGAAGGCTGGGGAAGACTCAGTGAGTCAAGTTCTTCTGCCTGCTTTATTCTAGCCACGCTGGCAGCTGATGAGGTGTTGCCCACCCAGACTGAGGGTGGGTCTGCCCCTCCCAGTCCACTGACTCAAATGTTAATCTTCTTTGGCAGCACCCTCACAGACACACCCAGCAATAACACTTTGCATCCTTCAATCAAGTTGACACTCAGTATTAACCATCACGCCATCCTTTTCAGGTTAGGAAATAGGTTCAGAGAGGCAGAGGGACCTGTCCAGGGTCACATAGCAACTAAGATATGGGCCCAGCTTCCTTTCCTACCCCTGCTAGGCTGGCTTGGCATCCAGCTCTGCTCCTGTATCAAAGCCCCAGGTTCTGTGTGAGCCTGAGGAGTAGACTGGGGACAGCCTTCGTGGTCCAGCCAGGCTGACCTGGGGCTTCTCTCTCTGGGTCTGTAGAGATCAAGCTTGGCAAGAATCGGACAGAAGCTGAGGTGAAGCGCTACACAGAGGAGAAGGAGAGGCTTGAAAAGAAGAAGGAGGAAATCCGAGGGCACCTGGCTCAGCTCCGGAAAGAGAAACGGGAGCTGAAGGAGACCCTATTGAAATGCACAGGTAAGAGGCCTCCCAGTAGGGAGGGACCCTCAGTTCAGAGGGCTGTGTAGGCTTGCACTTTTTGGGGGAAGATCTGTCACCTGGTGGCCCTGGCCCCTTTCACCCTGGGCCTAGGTGGGTGCTCCCTGCATGTCCTCTCTCCTCCAATCATGTCTGAAAGGTCATCCTCCTGCACAGAGAGAGAAACACCTCTGACTGAACGTCAGCAGGACCAGCAGGTCATCGTAAAAGCTAGTTAAAGGAGGAAGTTTTGTAGGATTATGCTTAGGCTTTAAGTATTTTATTGTCATTTAAATGCATATTCCTTGGCCCGTCTTCTGAGGACCTGGCACCGCAGACTTTCTGAGCCCTGCTCAGCTGACTGGAGTCTTCTGTCATCCTGCATGCATTAACTACACCTGTTAATGCATCAGCCTTCACTTCTTTAAAGTGAACAAAACCTTAAGGCACTTGCCAAGAAGTCCTTCTAGATTATCTTCCAAACCACATTATCATTTGACAGCTATTTGCTGGCAATCTGCCTCTTTACAATTTTTAAAATTAAAAAAATGTTAAAATTGAGATGAGGTCTTGCCATGTTGCCCAGACTGGTCTAGAGCTCCTGAGCTCAAGGGATCCACCTGCCTTGGCCTCCTACAGTGCTAGGATTACAGGCGCGAGCCACCGTGCCCGGCTGCAACCTGCCTCTTCTAGAACCTTTCCAAAGCATTTGACTTAGTTTTCGTGGAGTAACTGTGTTTATTTAAACTGTAGAGTTGCATGAACAAGCACAAGCAGCAGCGCAGGTTTGGGACAAACCCAGCTGGCTGACGAGGGAAGGTCTTGAGGGTGCGAACTCACCCGCTGGCTTTTCTTCAATTACAGCTTTGAGACATAATTTACATATCATGCAATCGACCCATTTAAAGTGTGCAAATCGTGGTTTTTAGTGTAGTCACAAAGTTATACAACCATCGCCACACTCCGTTTCAGAAGCCTGTACCCATTCGCAGCTGCTCTGTTTCCCCTGCTCCTATCCCTAGACAGCCACCGACCTGCCTTCTCTCTCTAAATGCGCAGCTCTGATTTTGAGGGTTCAGCAGTCTTGGGTATTGCCAGTGCACAGAGGTATGGGGCAGTAGCCAGGCTTCTTTACCACCCAGCTGAGACTAGAGGGTGGGGCCTGAGCTGATGAACGTGGCCAGGGGTTCCTCTAAGACAGTTCTCTGAAAGCCCCAAGAAAGCACTGAGCTGGGGCTGTGAGGAGGGCACCTGGGATTCGCACCCCTTCGTCTCCTTTCTGGATATTCTAGGTGGAGGAAGAGAAAGAATTTTCATTGTAAGTCACTCACCTGGCAAATAAGCCCTGTTGGTCCTGGGTTAATAAGCCACAGATCCTCAAAAAGTGATTCTCAAAGTATTGATACCGACCTCTAAATCTGAACTGTATTTTTTTTTTTTTCTTTTTTTTTTGAGGCAGCATCTTGCTCTGTTGCCCAGGCTGGAGTGCAGTGGTATGGTCTTAGCTCACTACAGCCTCTGCCTCCTGGATTCTAGTGATTCTCCTGCCTCAGTCTCCAAGTATCTGGGTTTACAGGCATGTGCCACCACGCCCACCTAATTTTTGTATTTTTAGTATAGATGGGGTTTCTCCATGTTGGCCAGGTTAGTCTCGAACTCCTGGCCTCAAGTGATCTGCCTGCCTCGGCCCCCCAAAGTGCTGGGATTACAGCCATGAGCCGCTGCACCCAGCCTGAACTCTATTTTTTTAAACTCCATTCCTCAAAACATCATTGGCATACTTTTTCTTTCCTTCTCTCTTTAGAGATGGTCCTTCAATAGCACCTGTGAATTTTTCTTAAATAGCGGCCCTGTGCTCAGGATGCTATGTGGTACATATGTGAAACCCTCCTTTCCTCTAGCTGTGAGCTCCTAGGATACAAGCCATAGGTATCATTCCATGGTGTGGCAGCATCAATCCGAGAGGTCCAGGGTTAAGAGGAGGAGCCAGGGCTGAGGACTCCTGCTCTGTTAGGCCTAGGGAAGTCAGAGGATTGAAGGAACTCGGTGGGGCAAATCAAGCTGCCCAGCCCTCCTCCACAGGCCGTGAATAAAGCCCCTCACTCTTTTGGGTTGCTGTCAAAACAACCCAGTCTCTGAGAAGCTACAAGAAGGGACTTGGGCCTCAGATTCGTGCCCTTTAGTGAAGCCAGAGCTCTCCTCCCCCAGAGCCTGCCAGCCTTTGCAGAATGCTAGTGCAGGCCTACAGGCTGCCCCGAGCACCCAGGCTCCTCCCAGCTCTGAGTGTTGGGGGCACACCTGTGGTTCTTCTCGGGTGGGGGTGGCGGAGTGTGTAGATCCTGCCTCCACCCAACAGGGCTCCCTGGCCTGGGCTCAAATGGTATTCTCTGAGGTCTGCATAATTCTCTCTCTAGACAAGGAAGTCCTGGCCAGCCTGGAGCAGAAGCTGAAGGAAATTGACGAGGAGTGCCGGGTCGAGGAGAGTAGGCGCGTGGACCTGGAACTCAGCATCATGGAGGTAAAGGACAACCTGAAGAAGGCTGAGGCGGGACCTGTGACGCTGGGCACCACCGTGGACACCACCCACCTGGAGAACGTGAGCCCCCGCGTGAGTGCCGGAGCCACGACCCCTGGCCTGCTTGCAGGGCTCTCTGGACATGGGTCGGGGCAGGTGGGTCACATGTCCCTCCCCTTGACTCAGTGCCTGCTCTCCTCCTGTAACCACAGCCCAAAGCTGTCACACCCACCTCTGCCCCAGACTGTACCCCAGTCAACTCTGCAACCACGCTCAAGAACAGGCCTCTCTCGGTGATGGTCACAGGCAAAGGCACAGTCCTCCAGAAAGCCAAGGTAAGTAGCCACTCTCAGGCTCCCTAAGAGTGCCAGAATTGTCACTAAGGTAGGGCCCATCTTCTGACCCAGGTGGTGCTGTGTGGGTTTGGCACCTGCTCTGAACGAGGGCTCAGCGCTCACCAGGGAGGGGTAGTGGCTCTGGAATGCCATCCCTTTGGCTCAGTCTCTGGCACTGACCAACCAGAAAGGTGCCTGCACTCGGTTCAAGTGTCCTTGCCTTCCACACAGTTATGGGTAGATTCCAGGGGGACAGCTGCAGTTCAGGGACAGATTGTGACTGAGTTTTTAAATCAAAAAGTCAGTGACCCCCACAGGACTTCTACCATTAAAACTAAAACAGACTCATATAGGTGGTATGAACTGCCCACCCAACTAGTGGCAAAGTTCACAGCAAGTTGTAAATGAGGAATGCACGCTATGATGGGGTTTCTCCCTGAGGGCTAGATAAAAAGTGTCATTTACTCATTTGTACATTAAAGAACATGCCTAGGGCTGCCTTTGCTTTTGGCAGACTCTGCTCCTATCCTGCTTACCTGCTAGAGATATTTGGAGGCACCCACAACACTGGCTAATAAATCCATGCAAGCATCTGAGCCTCTGCTCCCTTGCTGCTGTGGCAGACATCACTTACAGCACTCTTTGTTGTGCCAGAGTCTCAAAATCTCTGAATAGATGTGCTAAGCAGTGATGAACACACATGGTTTGAAACATATTTGTCATCTCTATGCCTATTTATATGCTGAAAATAGTTTTTCTCACATTTTTTTCTATGTATGTCAAGGTTGCTACAGTGGATAACTAACTTTCTTTTTTGTGGGTGGGTGCTGGTATTTGAATGGTACCCTAGGAATGGGAGAAGAAAGGAGCAAGTTAGAAAACAAGCTTCAACTAAAGACTCTCATGTCAATATGGACCTTGGTGACAATCCTGCTTTGTTAAAGCAAAAACTCTGCAAAAAGTTGAGTCTGTTTAGAAGAAAAAGCAAAGACTGAAGTGCTGTGAATGGAGAGCTTCAGCTAAGAGGAGGCTCTGTCCCTTTTCAGAGCCAAAGGAAATAATACAACAAAAAAAGATGCTTCTTCTTTGGAGACCTAAGTCTATTGGACGTAAACAAGACATTGTATTTAGGGATGCTCTGTGTTTCTTTTTTGAAGTTTTCATCAATTGCTTTATCAAGATTTTAAAATAGTAAAAACCTTCTCATGTTTAGACTTTGGTGGAAGATGAATCAAGGAAGCAGGGCCCTGTTTTATGGGTCATGTGGCTTTGGTGAGTGAGAAGACCATCATCTCTTATCTAATACTTAGCAGTTGGGGATTAAACCATCTTTGCCTTCACTTCTAATATAACCAGGCCCAACTCAGTCCTCAGTGACTTTTAAACAGCATTGATATCATCTATAAAACCATCTATGACATGAGTTTTGAGAAACAGTAATGGGGAAAATATTTGACTTCTTTCCAGTCCAAGGCACACCTGAATCAACTGTCTTTAAATAAAATTGTAAGTGATGCTGTATTATATAGGAAAAAATGTTTAAAATCTTCTCATTTAGAACAGTGAAAGTGTCTTTTGAAATTAAACTGACTCTTTAGGGAAAAAAATTACCCTGTGTTTACAGATTTGTTCCTGTGGTCAGGCCATTTTTAAGGAAAGAGTTATTTAATATAATGCTCTCTTAGTCCGTGATTTTAAGTTCTGTTTAATGTCCATTCCCCTTCCAAGAACAAAGTGGTGATTTCTGGTTTTTGGTTAGGGTGGTCTCCCTCTTAAAATCGGCAGTGCTGTTCCTTGTGCTCCCTGTCTTTTCGCCTGATGGCATTTTTTTTTTTTTTTTAAACGCAGGTTGAAACATTTCATCTATCTCTGCCTCATTTCTGGGGGTTGTATATCAGAGTTCTCTAACACTGGTTCCTGAGAACTAAAGGTCTTTTTTATTCTTATTGTCTTTCTAATACCAGGGCATTTATTTCCTCTGTCATAAACATTTGGTAACCTTTTACCAAGTGGTGAGTTAGATTTTTTTTTAAAATAAAATGTTCATTGTATTTGAGGTTTTCCTTGTATTTCATGAAATGACATGGGGCAGGGCCTGGGGGGCTCTCAAGGAAGGAAATGTTTTGGTTATTTACACACCTAGCAGGAGACTCAGCCTTCTTGAATCAAAGAGCATAGATAAGGCAGGAAGCAAATTTTAGTTGTACAGTTAACAATGTACCAAAGACACAGGAAACATCTGCAGAAATTGATCACATATAAGTCAATGAAAAATCAGTACGCCCAGAAGTTGAAATATACTCTTAAAGAATTCTTAGGGAAAAAAAGAAACAACATACCAATACTGGGAAGGTTGCCCAAGTAATAATGAAGGAAGTTTATAGCATAACTAGCATAACTCTGTCTATTAAAAAAATGACAAAACCAAAATCTGGTTCATTAAAAAGGCAAATACAATAAAGAGACAACCTAACGCAATATAAAATAGAACTGAAGTGGAGGCCTTACATACAGACACAAAATTTTTCAAATTATATGTATTTTCCACTACAAAGTTAGTATAGCTCTGATACCAAAAATTCAAAACAAATTGTAAAAGAAAACCATTCTCATTGTTGGACACAGATTAAAAGAATCTGAAATAAATGTTGGCAAATGAAATTCAGCAGGGTTTATAGAATGATGTGTAATAGACTTTATCTAAAAAAACGAGGTGGTTCAATGATTGAAAATATACAAATAGGTAATCCATCACATTAACAGATTAAATGTAAAAAAAAAGAATACATTATCTTGAAGGAAGAGGAAGAAGTATACCATAAATCTCAACGCATAAAAAAACACTCTTAGTTCATCTAGGAATATACTAATACTAGGAAGTACATACCAATACTGGGAAGATTGCCCAAGTAGTAATTAAGGAAACTGATCAAGTAACTGATCAAGTAACCCATAGAAAACAATGATGAAAAAGTCAGAAGCCAGATATGGATGCCTGTGACTACTACTATTTGTGAAACATTATTCTGTAAGTCCTGGGCAATGCAAAATGACCCAGAAGTGGTATACAGCTGTAAAAGAGACAAAACTAGCATGTGGAATTATTTCTCTAGAAAAGCAAGGGTCGATTATTAGAACTAGGGTGTTCAGCAAGATGACTGGAATCAGGATTATTCAGAGGAAATTTAAGGCCTATATGCAATGTTTTAATTCTTGCAAAGAAAATATTTCTATCTTACTTGTATAATTAAGGGTAAAAATAAAAATTAAAGCTAGAAATTAAAGCTGATTTCTATTAAATGAAAGAAAAGTCTTGACTAATTAGGCCATAGGATAGCACTCCCGTCTGCCACTATGGGGACACTGACAAAAGCTGAACTCCTCAGTGGCACCCTCACTACAAAAAGGGAAAAAAATGTTTCAAAGGCTGGGACCCCCATCGCCTACAAAGAAACAGTAAAGGCCTCTACTGTGTAAGTCCAGAGCCCACAGTTTATTGTTTAAATCCAAGTAATTCAATCAGGGCACCCCAATACCAGCCCTGAACAAGACAAAAAGACTACATTTTAGCATGGTTAAACTGTTATTAAAGACCGTGAATTCATATAATTTCTATTACATCACAGATCAGCATTTGCCAGGGGCCACATGATCCTGCCCTGGACGTTGCCTTCTGTGAAGGGCAGCATAATAACAAAATGATCAATGAAAGGATCCCTTGAACACAGATGACTGTTATGACTCAGCGTCTGGTTCACCAGACTTTTTAATATTTCAAATCATGGTGATACTGCTTCAAGCACTTTTCCTGCACCAGAAATCCTGAAGTTCTTAAAGCCAAAGTACCTTTGAATGTTTGTATGTAAAACATGTTAAAAAATTTATCTTTCAAAGAAAAACAGGCTGGGCATGGTGGCTCCTCACAGCTGCAGTTCCAGCACTTTGGGAGGCCGAAGCATCGGGATCACCTGAAGACAAGAGTTTGAGACCAGCCTGGCCAACATGGTGAAACCCTGTCTCTACTAAAAATACAAAAATTAGCCGGGTGTGGTGGTGCATGCCTGTAATCCCAGCTACTCAAGAGGCTAAGGCAGGAGAATTGCTTGAACCTGGGAGGCAGAGGTTGCAGTGAGCCAAGATTGCATTCCAGCCTGGGCAATAAGAGTGAAACTCCACCTCAAAAAAAAAAAAATGACAAAGTCTCAAGTCATGTCAGAGCTCTAGAAAGATTTCTACTGAAAATCCAACTCTAAACAACACAACCAAGGGGAAGAAGTAATTCCTAAATATTGCAAGGGTAAGTATCTAGTTTGCTAGAGAATATTCCAAATAAGTCTCTTTGCCACACAGGTACAAATATTCCTGTTTAATAAATAACCAACATTTCTTGAAATATTCCTTTAAAAACTGCGTAGTAAAGCAAAACTAAAACCTAGACAGCATAAGATCAATGCTTTAAAAAGCAAAAATCTCTGTAAATTTCTTATCCTACATTTTTGAGTTTAAGAATCTTTTCTTTGCCCCACTAAAAGGAGAATAAGAATTCCATAAACATGCCAGAATTAACCCCTTCTAAGTAACTTTTTTTTTTGAGACAGTTTCATTCTTGTTACCCAAGCTGGTGTGCAGTGGTATGACCTCAGCTCACTGCAACCTCTGCCTCCGGGGTTCAAGCTATTTTCCTGCCTCAGCCCCCTGCGTAGCTGGGATTACAGGGACCCGCCACCACACCTGGTTAATTTTTGTATTTTTAGTAGAGATGAGGTTTCACCATGTTGGCCAGGCTGGTGCTGAACTCCTGACCTCAGGTGACCCACCCACCTCAGCCTCCCAAAGTGCTGGGATTACAGGCATGGGCCACAGCCTCCAGCCATACACTTTTTTAAAAGGAAGGCCCTTCAAGTAGACACTGCTCACTACTCAGACCAATTTCATGTGGCCCCTCCAGACCTTGGCCAGTTGCACACTCAGCCTCTCCCCCATCATCAAGCAAGCTGGTTAACTGGTCACATTTCAGTCTGGAATCTTTTCAAGTCTCTCCCACACACAAAATGCAGTCACCAGAAGTCACAGATGCCACTCAAGCCCCTTTTCAGACTCAATGCAAATGCATCCAGAATGTCTTGGGGAGGCGGAAAAGCTGCTGCTTTCCATTTTGAAAGGCCATGGCCTTCGAGGTCCAAAAGTAAAGGCTTCTGCTGGGCATTACTATGTCAACAACGTTCTGGCTAGCACTGATTTTGGGCAAAGGAACGTCAGACAGACCACCAAATTTAGGTCTCCAGGACCCCTTGTTTATCAAGGGAAAGGTGGCAGATGACATAGCGTCAACAAGGCACAAGCCGGTACAGAAAGTCGGTCTTTACTTACACATCAAAAGGTTTCAACAACGTCCTTAGCCAGTGACATCAGCTGCTTTCTTGTCCCTAAGCAGCATGGCTGCAGTCAGGACATCCTCCTACCTTGGTGAGATAGCGCTTCTGGACACAGCAGGAAGGACCCCAAGGGAACAGACCTTCTAGAGGGCAGGCACCATTTCAGTGCCCAGGCCTTCTCTGCAGTTGCTGGGAGGGGTACAGCTGCTGCCCTCCTGCGCGGGAGCCACGTGCCTCTGGGGCATCTCCTCTCAAGAACCCTGGGGAAGGAAGTGAACTCTGAGGACAGGAGTGTCTGCATCCCCTTCTTGGCCCACCAGCAGCCCCTGCCCTTACTCCACAACCCACCTCGCCCCCAGCAGAAGATGCCAGATTAGAGACCCCATCTGATTGTCCTCTACACCCTCTCCCTGGCCTTAGGAAGCTAACCTCTGCCGGTAGCCAAAAACCCAAGGCTCTGACTAGACTCATCTTCTGATTTCTGGTTGTTCTAACTTCAAACTCAGGAACAGGAGCCATAAGTGGGCCCCTATTACCTCCCAACGATCACTCTCTAGGTCCTAACATGTTACCCTTCTCTTGACTGTCACTTACTATCTTTTCTCTCAAACCTCCAGTGCCTCCTCCTCTTCCTCACTCTGAGCTATTCCTCCCATTTTACTAAGCAAATAGAACACACCCCAAAAGAGTTTCCAGCAGCTCCCACCCCTGCCTCCCTGTACCCTGGATTCACTGTGCTCCCAACCAAGGCCTCCCTGCTAGTTATCATTACTTTCTCCAGGGTGCTTAGCACCGTCTAACACACCACGTGTTGTATGACAATTAACTTGCTGTTGTCTGTGTCCACATTAGAATGGAAGCTCCATGAGGGCAGAGGTGGTATTCATTTGTTTACCGCTATGTTCTCGCACTTAAAACAATGCCTGGGATGCAGGAGGTACTCACTAAATGTTTCGTGGGTAAATAAATACATGATTGAATAATTCCTTCCACTGGATCAATGTTTTAGAACCTGCCTTCTGCTGAGTTTGTGGGACTTGGCAGGACTCACAGTACCATCCCCGGCTCACACATACAGAGCAAGAGCTCCACTCACGGTTCTCGCAGTGGGGGCCCTCCCAGCCATCCTGGCACTCGCAGCGGTAGCTTCCATTCTGCAGGACGCAGCTGCCCTCGTTCATGCACGGGTTGGGTTTGCAGAGGTTGATTGGCCGCTTGGCTTCTACCATGGAGAACACACCCGCCAGGCCAGGCATGAGTTAGACCCAAAGACCCCCACCGTAAGCCCCGTAGAGATGCAAGGCTACTAGAGTCGCGTCTCCCTTTGCCCTGGTAGCTCATGGTTGGTGCTGGATGCTACTTGGGTAGGTTAGTAAGACCCAGCTCTCCTACAGACTCATGGAGATTCCATTGCTCAGATGTGCCATACACATGGCAGACATTCAAGAAGGTGAAGAGGTCATCACTGGCAAAAGGAAGCCTTGGATTCAGGCTGGCCTGGCCGTTTGCTCTGGGCTCTGTCACTGCCCAAGTCAGTGTCAATGTGGGATCTTTAGACCCTTAGGGAGCTTGTGGGTAACCTAAAAATGTGTTCTGTTTCATGGGAGTGCATAAATTCTCAAGTTTGGGAGTGAGTTATCTATTTTCTGCACCTTAAATGTGAAATGGGGGCAGTTATGCCTACTGGAGGATTTGATGTGAGCATGGGATTTAGCACAGAACCTGGCACTTGGGAAGCAAGTGCTCAGTAGCTGGAAAGAGCTGCCATCCTTGTAATGACATATGTGAAGGCGCAGGCTGAGGGCCTGCCATGGAGGCAGCCATGAGGGTGTGGATTCCCCGACTCACCTCCACACAGCCACTCAATGAGCACGTCCTGATGGTACTGCAGGTCGGTATAAGCTGCCACGTGGATCAGGGAGTCCCAGGGACCAGCAAGCCTCCGCAGACCCTCGCTTAGAACAGGCCCCACGCCCACGACCAAGACAGAGATGCCATTGTTCCTCAGTTTCTGGGCAGGGACAGCTGCATCCTCTGCGCCTCTCCCACCTGTGAGCACCACCACAGCTTTGGGGACACCAGGCCGGGCGCCCCTCTGGACAGTCATCACCTTGTCATAGATGTGCAGCAAGGCAGTGCCGGCCGAGCCCACCCCACCCAGGTAGGGGGCCTGGCTAATGGCCCGTAGCACCGCAGCCCGGGTGGGTTTGGTGTCCAGCCCGAAGGCAGTCTGCACCTGGCTGCCATACACCACCAGGCCGACCTGTGTCACATCAGGGTTCACCTCAAACTTGAGAGCACAGCTTCTCACAAAGCTCTGCATCTGAGCAAAGTTCTCAGGCCCTACTGAGGTGGAGGTGTCCAACATGAAGACGAGGTCCAGAGCTTGTGTCTTGCAGCCTGCAGGAGCAAGCAGAGGGGCTTTAGAGTGGATCTGCCAGCCAGAGCCCCGCCATGGGCCCCAGGGACTGCCGGGTTGGGTGGAGCCCAGGTCAGCCAGAGTGCTCTGTTCACTGCAGAATCCACCCTCCATGCCTGCTCTTAGTCTCAGAACAGTCCTTTCCTAGAAATTAGCAGGAAGATGAGTGCCCAGCCAGACCACCTTTCCTAGCCTCCCTGGCAGTGAGGGTAGCCACGTGTCTATCTGATGGGATGTGATCAATTTCCAACTTCCACCTCAAAGTGGAAGCCATAAGATGACCAAGCCCTGCTGGCCTGGACCACTCACCTCTGAACTCTGTAAGTTCCTGTCTTATGTAACCCATGGGGTTTTTGGGCAGCCCTTTGTGACAGCATCTTCACCTGTGCCTTCATACATCCCCAGTATGCAGGGCACTAATCAGATAAAATGGGCCCATGCCTGCTGTCAACAGGCTGACAGTCTAGGGGAACAGACATGAAATACACATAGAATTACAAATGATGTCAGCAGCATGGAGAGAAAAGCAGGGGACTCCGAGAGAGACCAGTAGGGTAACATAACAAGACTGGGAAAAGGGATCAGAGCTTCTCTGGGGAGGTGACATTTCAGCTAAGAACTGAAAGGCAAGTAAGTATGAGCCAGAAGGCCTCTCCCACGCAGGGGATGCAGAGAGGCCAGCGAGGACCAGGCCACAGGGAGCTCTCAGAAGCCAGGGGAAGGAATTTGGGTTTTATTTCAAGTGCAAAGGGGAGCCACTGGAAATTCTAAGTATGGAGTCAGTGGATCTGATGCTTTGATTATTTAAAAATAATCAGATTTTAAAACCACTCCCACACCAGGAAAGCCTGAGAAACTATCACAGCTACAGGGAAGACGGGCTGAATATATGCATTGTGGAGTCCTTGATGGGACTCTGGTACAGAGAAATGACATTAGGTAAAAACTAAACAAATATGAATCAAGCATGGATCACTAAATAATGTATCAATATTGGTTTGTTAATGGTAATAATGTACCATACTAATGCAAGGTGTTAAAGGGAGGGGAAACTGGGTGGGGGGTGTAGGGAACTCTCCCCTATTGTCAATTTTTTTTTCCTATAAATCTACAACTGTTATTTTAAATAAAAACGAACAAAACAAAAAAGCAGAACAAAAGCACTTAGACCAGCCTGGAGGGGCAGGGTGGGAGTGGGCAGCCAATCTGTCCTTCTCCCTTACAGGAGAGAAAGCCTCCTGCCTTGGGGACAGTGGTGGCATCAGGGTTGAGAAGCAGAATGGCATCCGTAGCTTCCCATGCCCACCTAGCAAGCGGAGAACTCCAGAAGCCCTACAAAGGATGTATTTCACTCATGCCTGTAATCCCTGCACTTTGGAAGGCTGAAGTGGGAGGACTGCTTGAGGCCAGGGGTTGAAGACCAGTCTGGGAAACATAGCAAGACCACATCTCTATAAAGAATAAAACAATTAGCTGGGCATGGTGTTGTGCACCTGTAGTCCTGTTATTCAGGAGGCTGAGGTGGAAGGATCACATGAGCCCAGGAACTGGAGGCTGCAGGGAGCTATGATCGTGCCACTGCATTCCAGCCTTGGTAACAGAGCGAGACCCTGTCTCAAAAGAAAAAAAAAAAGGACATGTCTCAGCGACAACATCTCTGGCCATTGGCCAGGCCTCCATGCAGGGACAGTGTTCTCTAGAGTGCCTTCCAATAGGGGTCATAAAAAAATCAACTTCATGGCTTGAAAAACAGAAGAGAAAAATGTCAGAATGCATCCGAGGAAGACAGGATAAGTATCCTCTCAGGAAGCGTTTGTTTCAGTTGTGTATGGCTGCAGCAGCACGTGTGCATGTGCGTGCATCTGTATGTGTGTGCACCAGGAATGTACTTCCTTCTGTGAGTTCTCATCAAAGGAGCCAGGAAGCTGCCCCTCTGGATCCTGCTTAGTAGGTTCACAGCTCTTTGTAACAACAATAAAATCGTGATGAATAATGCTAACATCAACACCTAGGGTTTGCTGAGTGCTTGCTCTGTACCAAGCATGTACACTGCTTATCTCATTTAATTCTCACTAAAGGCCTCTCAGGAGGTACTACTATCAGTTCCATTTTATTAAAAAGTTAACTGAGAAATTGTTATGTGACTGGTACCTGAAAGAGTGGGGCTGTGGTTTCAGCCCCTAACACAGGTGCTGGCAGAGAATGATGGTTAGGTGGTGGCCAAGAGGAGGGAGGACCTGCCCACTGACCAGCTAGGACCTTACCTGGCCGCGGCTGGCTGCACAGCTTCCCCTGCAGCTCAGGGATTTGGTTGAGCAGGTCCTGAGGGTCTGAGTAGACCATCACGTGTTTCGGGCTGCCCGTGATCTCCTCTAGCTCTGCCCGCCTGGCCGCACTGCCTACGCCCAGCAGGAGCAGCCCTCGTGCCCTTACGTGACGAGCTGGGCCGGACACCTCATCCTCGGCACGTGACTCAGTGAGCAGAACCACCACTCTACGTGGCCGATCCTGGCCTGTCCTGGTGACGCTCCCGAAGCCACGCTCTGCTGCCTGCCGCAAGGCACTGCCCGTCAGTGTGGGGCCACCACGGAAGGGGATGCCATCGAGGCTCCTGACCAGGTCAGGCACATCCTGGTACTCTCCCACGGGCACTGCCACCAGCAGCTCCCTGCTGTACGTGGCCACACCCACTCGGGCCCGAGAGTCCTCGCTCAGCACGGCCTGCACAAACTGCTTCACAAACGCTTTGGTCCGCAGGAAGCCATCCAGTGTGGCGCCTGCAGAGCTGTCCAGCAGGAAGAGGAGGTCGATCCTGCATTCCAGGCTCAGCTTCAGGGCTGCGGGGATCACAGCAACACCCACTGTCAAGCCGTTTCCATACAATATGTGATCTGTCCTACCCAAGATGCCTAAGCGCCACACAGGGCAGGAGGAACTCCCTCCCAGGAGGAGATGGGGCAGAGAAACTGTGGCCACCCAGGGTTAAGTGACCGGTGGCTCATCTCAGAGTTAGAGACAAGGCCACACATGGCACTCTCCCTCCTGGCACTCACTAAGGGTTTCCATCTGACCACTTTTTAAAAAGAAAAATGCCATCTATGTTATTTTTTCCCTTTATGGGTAGTCTTGTGTGTGTGCTGAGAAATCTTTGTCAACCTCAAGATCATGAAGATATGCTCCTGTGTTTGCTTCTAGAGGCTTCACTGCTTTGCCTTCTGCGTGGAGGTCTAGAGCCATGCTAGAATGGACTTCTGGTAGAGTTGTGAGGTACAGGGTCAAGATTAATGGTTTTCATATAGATCTTCAACTAACTCAGTATCACATTTTTAAGTGTTATTATTCAGCAAGCCCTTACATGCACCAAGCATAGTACTAAGCATTTTGCATAATCTCACTTAAAATTCTCAACCACCCAATAAGGTAAAGCCTACTATCATCTTCATTTCATACCTCTAAAATCAAAAGGAATTGGGGCTCCTTGCTCTGCTTTCACAGCATAGAGAAGAAAAGACTCTCCCCAGAACTGGGAGCCAGAGTTGGGCAGACTCCTGCCTTCAGCTGGGCTGGGCAGTGCTCAAACTTCAAGCAATGGCCATTCTGCAGCTATAAGCTGGGAGCCACTGTCTCAGCCAGAGCTCAGCCACCCGAATTATCTACTCACGGAGCAGCACTGAGAGGCTGCACCACGTGAACAGCAGACCAGGGGTGCATTGGAAAGCAGATGATTTGAGGGCCAGTTTCTACCCAGCAGCTGGAAGGGTGGGCAGTGAGGAGGGGAGCCTGTCCTCTCCCTGCTGCCCACGGGTCAGTCTTGCAGGGCCGGGGCATACGTACCACAGTTAGCCTCCCCTCTGAAGGCCAGTGGGCAGAGGCACTGGTACCCGTCCAGTCCTTCGGGAACACACGTGCCTCCATTCTGGCAGGGCTGTGAGTCACAAGGACCTATCAGAGAGTTGCCCATTAACCACTAAGCACCACAGCACAGAGAAGCAGAGAGGGCTGGCCAGAGGTGGGGGTGCAACTGGCTGCCTGCTCTAGTGGGGACCAGCCCCTTCCACCCCCCAGGGTCCACCAGGAAACCTGCAGCACAGAGGGAAAAGCACTACCGAGTTTATAAAGGAGGGGCTGGGCACAGCTGGTAAAGGATGCTCTGTAGCAGGCTTGGGAAGGCTCTGTGTGATGAACTACTGTCAGACTGGAGCTTGGCAAGGAGGAAGCTCCCAGTAGCACCAAGTGTGGGTATCTCAAGACTCAGGGAAAGCTGTGGTGCTGACAGGGACCTGTCTTCTAAGTTCTATACGGGGTTCTTAATGGCCTTTGCACCTGGCAGAGCAAAGCACACAAGCCTTCTGATCCTGCAGCCGGGCTGCTGGGCACTGAGCATGCCTCTTCCACTTCCTCGGGCACCTTAATTAACCTCTCCCGGCTTCATATCCTCACCTAAAAAGGACTGATGGGAACTGAACTCATTCGTGGGGTTGGTATGAGGATTAAATAAATTAATCCACAGAAAGTCTCAGCACAAAACACACACTCCCCAACAGGTAATGACAGTATTGACTTTTGGATGTGAGGTGCAAATTATGAGCAAGGCCTCTTCAAAGTTGAAAGTTTACATGGGAAGCCACAGCCTGTGTCAAAAGCAGGCCCATTCTGAAGTGTCTGATCTGTGATTCCCTGTGGTTCCTGCCTGAGCGTCTCATCACTTTCCTTATCAATTATTACACAATGTAACTGAAACCATGGACCTCCTTCCCAGGGCGACAGAAAACAGGGTCTTCATGTGTTCATGTATTCCAAGGGTTGGATAAGCCACTGAATGTGGTCACAATTGAGACTGGCATTTTCTTGTCCTTTTTGCTTAAAAATATTGATCTGTTACTTGATGGCCACATCACTGTAATTAAAATACAGACCTTTTCAAAGGCAGAAAAGATTGAGGTTGAGTCTGGGCACCTCGCAGGGCCTGCTGTCGTAGCAGCCGGAGACCATGGAAATAACTGGGGTCTCAATGACATCAGTAACAGTGGCTTTTAACTGAGCATCTACTATGTGCCAGGGACTGCACTAAGCATGATACATGCATGGTCTCATTTCATTGTCACAACCTTATGAGGTACGAACTGTAAAAACGCTATCTGACAGATGAGAAAGCTGAAGCTCAATGAACAGAAGTCACGTGCCCCAGGTCAGATCACTGGTGTGAGGCAGAGCTGGAACTGAAAGCTGTTTCACTTTAGTTTCCAAACCATAAGTCCTCAAACCCTAATTTCTGAGCAGAAATAGCCCCTCTCTCAGATCCTTCTATGCTTCAGAGGCCGTGATGCTAGAACTGTAAACCTTGAGGACATGCTGAAGGGATCACCTAATCCCAAATAGGGACCCTCACTACCTGCCTGTGTGTCTAACTGCTAGCATGACTTTCGGGAGGCAGGCTACTGATTGGGAGCAGCAAATCCATCCCAGGACTGACATATACACATTCAAGTGCAATTTCTAGCTCCCAGGTCAGTGGGGTCACTAGCACCCCAGGTGAGGGAGTGAGGGCACACTGGGGAACCAGGCTGAGTGATGCATAATGGCATCACTGATTCCTCATGTTTATTTGGGATTTTACAGCTGAGGGAGTACTTCCATGGGTACATACTGAATCTTCACCAGGACCCCACGTACGATGCCTCTTTTTGTATGGAGAAGGGAAATGAGCTTCCAGACATCGGGCAAACATCACCCTATTTTACAGAGGAGGAAATCTCTCAGGTGTCTCGCCCTCACTTTGGTGCTGGCTTTGAGGATGTCTGCAAAGCTGGTGCTCAGTGCCTGCCTTTCTCTGCCTCTCACTAATGCACAAAACACTAGTTCAGGGGAGTAACCCCAAAGCCGCCACTCCAATCTTAATGAGAAAACACCATCGAATGAGTGGAGAGCATACTCTCCTCTGCCTCCCAGGTGCCCCATCCCGCTGCCCTGGAGCCAGCTGCAACTCCACGCTCTGTCCCAGGACTGTAAAAGCCCCTTTCTTTACAAAGCAGCCTGGGGCCAGGGCCCTGGAAGACCTGGTAAATGCAAGAGGAAGACGGTACCTGGGCAGGCGGTCCTGTAGCAGGTGGTGGGCTGGGTTCGGAACACTCTCTTCCAGCTACAATCCAAGTAAACAGAATGATAGACAGATCAGGGGTGTAAAGGGAGGGCAGAAAACGGAAGATTATTTACAACACCAAAAGCTGGTAGAAGATTCCAATGTAGAAATGAGTCAAGAAAAGACTTCCTTGTTTTCTTTCTTGATTCTACCCTAACTTTTCTTTGCACATAGAGTAGGGAATGTTTCAAACTGTCCAGTGACAATTAAAAACAAACAAAAAAAGAAAATAGTCCGGGCATAGTGGCTCATACCTGTAATCCCAGCATTTTGGGAGGCTGAAGCGGGGGATCACCTGAGGTCAGGAGTTCGAGACTAGCCAGGCCAACGTGATGAAACCCCGTCTCTACTAAAAATACAAAAATTAGCTGGGTATGATGACATGCGCCTGTAATCTCAGCTACTCAGGAGGCTGAGGCAGGAGAATCACTTGAACCCGGGAGGCAGAGGTTGCAGCGAGCTGAGATTGCACCACTGCACTACAGAGCCTGAGTGACAAAGTGAGACTCCATCTCAAACAACAACAAGCAAGGTAATATAAGCTGGCTGACACATTTGAAGTTAGAGACATCCACATGCCAAACTCTTAACTGTGGCAACGGCTTTTTACTATAAGTTACTTTCCGAGGCTCACAACACAGTAGGGAGAGGAATATTGGGAACTGGCCAACTGGATTTTGGCTGTATGACCCCAAGCATGTTACTTTCCTTCTCTGGCCTTCTGTTCCCTCTTTGTATAGCAATTCTATCTGCAGTTTTCAACTGTATTCCTTAAAGCGTCAAAGGGGAGAGGAGAGGACTGAGGGAACAAGGCTCTAGGCCTCCCGGGGTGCCCCAGCCCAGCCCCTGCTCCCCAGGTGTGCTGCCTCTATCTGGTCTGCACAGCAAGTGTCCACACGAGGCTCTGCAGTTCGAGACTTGCAAGCCACTGGACTCAATGACTTCTCAGGTGTACTGGAGACTAACAGTCTGTGATAACACAGCAGCCACCATTCCTGGGGTGCCTTCCACCTGCGGGTGTTCCATGAACCACAGCTACTGGAAGAGATGGTTCCAGATAGGGAAATGGGTTCCAAGGGCTGACTTAGGTGTCCTTGAGATCACAAAGTAACTGGATCGCTGCAGAGCTGGTGACCATCTGACTCCAAAGCCCCCCACTCTGCCCTCTGGACCTCACTTGTGCCTCTCCGGAGTCTCTGGGGCCATGTGCCCTGCTGCCACAGGAGCAGTTCCTCATCTAGGGGCAGAAAGCCCCACTCTGGGTTGGCAACTGCTCCTAGGATGGCCTCACCTGAGGAGACTCTTGGTCCTTGGCAAAAAATTTCCCTAAAGTTCTCCAAATCAGGTTTCTCCCAATGAGATCCCACCCTGGCCTGCCGACCCTAGGGGCAGTCCAACCAGGTGCCCCGCTAGGGCAGGGTCTTCCCTGGGGTAAAATAGAATAAAAGCCAAGTCAACTAAGAGCTCATGGTGTTGCTGAAATAAAGGTTGCCAAGGCTGGGCGTGGCGGCTCACGCCTATTAGCCCAGCACTACGAAAGGCTGAGGCAGGAAGGTGGCTTGAGCTCAGGAATTGAAGACCAGCTTGGGCAACATAGTGAGACTCCCATCTCTACAAAAACAAATTTAAAAATTATTCGGCCACAGCGGTCGTGTCTGTGGTCCTGACTACTTAGGAGGCTGAAGTGGGAGGATCACTTGAGTCTGGAAGTTTGAAGCTGCACTGAGCCATGATCACTCCACTGTGCGCCATCCTGGTGACAGAGCAAGATCTTGTCTCAAAAAAAATAAAACTAAAAAGAAAAACAAAGGTTGCCAAAGTACCAGCTCATTCGAGAGAAATTGTTTTCCCTTTCATGTCTACTCTTAGTGACTTCATAAAGCCACAAGTCCTAGCCCAGAAAGCTCCCTGGGGCCCTCCCTGTCCCCAGCTCAGGCCTGCCCTGGAAAGCGGCATTTATGGAGCTGACACTATCAACAGGGCTCTGGAGGGACCTGTACACAGCTTGCCCCACCTCCCTAGGTCTGGACACAAATGCCACATTCTCTGCACGGCCCTCCCTGGCCACTCTATTTCAAACTGTAACCTTGCCCCAGCCACCCGCCTACCCCTCCACATCCCCATCTTGCTGTCATTTTCCTCCACAGCACCTGGCCACCACTCAACAGGTTATGTTCTGTATTCATTTTGGAATGGCTGGAACATCACTCGTGAGAGCAGATGTGTTTCTGAGATCCTGGTGCTGATTCCTCCAGGACCTGGGTGAGCGCTGGGAGCCCAGGAGGCTCTCAGTATGTATTTCCGGACTGAGGAAATGGATGAAGAGCTCCCAAATGCTTCATTCTAGGAGCTGCAATATTATTGCATCTACCTATTAAATCACTGCTTGCTCTCAACAACCCTGTAAGGCAGGTGCAAATGATTACCACGCCCCTTTTCAAACATAGAAACATGCAGTGGTAAGTTCACAGCTCCCCAGTGGTGCTGCTGGGATCAGAAATTCAGCAGCCTGACAGCAAAGTCTGAACACAAGGCCCACGTAGTCTACACTGCAGCCACCAGCCTCTCCCAGCTGCTCCCGGGTCTGAGTGCCTTGCCCACTGCCATGGTTCCAAATCTTGCAAAACTGCTTGAGTAGCCCCTTCTCTGTGACATCCCAGAGAGGACAGACTCTGCCCCAGCACCTAGGATGCCTCAGGGTGGCCGCTGGTCTCCTTTCCCAATTCCCTGCTCTAGACCACGATTCCTTGGGGGCAGCAACTGTGCTGTCTCCTTATCACATATTGCCTGGCTCAGAACAGGCACTTAGAATGTGGCCACCAAGGAACGAATAAACTCCTCCTTTCACTTGAGAGCTTGGGTGCTGAGGAGAGCCTGTGGTGGCCCCAGCGTGGCAGGAGGCCCCCTCTCCTCCAACCCTCATATAGGGGGCTATCCATTCCCAGAGAAACAGTCTTTGGATTCTCCATCAGTCCAGCACAGCCCTAAGGCTTCTCAGCTAATCCACTCCATTGCTGTGCGCTGTGCTGTGAGCTCATCACTGGGAGAGAGCCAAGGGGCAAAGATGTAGCCGATTCAAACACTGCCCCAGCCCCCCTGGAAAGGGAGAGTGGCAGGATCACTGAGCTCCAGACAGAGGTGCTGAATGGCGGGGTAGTCTAGACAAAGTGCCCAGGGACAGTGCCGGCGGTGTTGGGAGGGATGGGCTGGTGGCCGGGCAGCAGGTGCTCTTGGGTGCCTGGGCTCCAATTCCAAAGAACCCAGCATCCTACAGCCTCCCTGACTGGGATTCATCGGAGGATCTCGATCCTCTTGCTTCACTCAGCCCCTCTAATGTGGAAACTGGTGTCAGAGGAACCAAAGTACTAAGTCAATATCACAAGTGCAGACCACTGCCCTGCAGGGCAGCTCTTGGCTCGCTCCCCAGTCTTGCAGAATGCCTGTGACCTTGCCAATGGCACTTGCCCTGGGTGCCTCGGCTGCGTGTTAAGGCACCCAGTGAGTAATTGTGCCTCTCCCTGTTCTCCCATGCTATGTCCCTGGCTCTCTCCCAGGACTCCCCTTCGATCCCTGTCACAACCACCATGGCAGAACCCCAAAGTGCTACCCTCCCGCAGCTTGTGAGTGCTTGGGGTCGGGGGCCTCCATCTCTACCCAGGCCAAGCCCAGACCCTGCAGACAAACCTGTAGAAGGGACAGAGTGCAGCCAGCACTGCCTGGGTCTGCCGTGATCCTCTCCAGCACGGGGCGTTGCCAGCGAACTCCCGGACCATCTCCAATGTCCTGCGCTCACAGGGGTGAGCCTCGACCCTGCAGTCTGTGTTCACAACACACACCCACACCAATGGAGGAGACAGCGTTCCGCCTCTCCTTGCCACGCACACTCCCAGCAGCTGCTCCCGCTCCTGGGAGGCTCCACCACATCCCTGGCCTGGCCACCTTCTGCTTTCTCAGGTCATAGCACACCTCCGGGTGAGGGTCCCTGCTCTGCCTGCTCAGCGGGGCATCCGTGTCTGAGCATCTCCTCTGCTGGGCCCCACCCCACACAGCTTTTACATAATGTGCACACATGTACATCCCACATAACGTTCTCCCTCTGGCTCCTGGGTGGACCCTGACAAGGACTAGAAAGTAAGGATCTTGCACCAAGCACAAAGCCTCCTTGTGTTCCTCTGTGCAGACCAAGGCAGGGGGAGGAGACTTGGCTCTATCTCCTGAGCAGGGGACAGGAAACTTACTAAATGTGGATCTCAAGTCCTGGGCCCCTATACCTCCACAAAGATAAGCTCAGGGCTTTCCTAGGGAGAAAAGGGAGACAGCAGGGCACCCAAGGTGGAGGCCACTGGTCCGTTTCTCTTGCCTGCCCTCCCTCCCTGGGAGGCTCCTGGGTCCCGACCTCTTGCCTCAGGGAACCCTCTCCGATCCCACATGGCCCTTCTACTCCCTCCAGGCTGGAAGGTCTTACCTGGCGTGGCACTGGTGCAGATAGCAGAGCTACTGAGGGTGCTGAAGAGGCCATTGCTGGCGTCCTCCACCTGTTCAGCCAACAGCACGTGCTGCTCTCTCGGCTCACTGGCCAGTGTGTGAAGCTCCTCCCACCTGTGCCAAGGGTTTGTGACAGCTTGTGGCCCTATACCCACCTCTTCCCGCCCGCTCATCTCCTAGGCCGTGGGCTCCTTGTGGATGGCAGCACAGATTTAGTGTTTGGTTTCGTCAGACCCATAGCTGGTGAGGAAAACAGTTAACCAGAAAGAAAATGAAAGAACGTGGTTCTAGGTGAGCAATCAAAGCACAAGTAAGCATAGCTGGAAACAGATAAAAACAGTGAAGAATGATAAACAGTGGACAGGAGAACTCGAAGGCCAGCAACATGGGGCCATCTAGAGGAGGCAGCCAGCACCCTCGATAGCCAGAGGGCAGCACTGTTTGCGCCAGCAGGAACATGATGTGCAGATAGTGGCCCTAGGAGGTGAAGAAAGGTTAAGTGGAGACACCTCATTTTAAGAAGACACGCAGTCAGGTCAGGCACAGTGGCTCATGCCTGTAATCCCAGCACTTTGGGAGGCCAAGGCGGGTGGATCACTTACAGTCAGTAGTTCAAGACCAGCCTGGCCAACATGGTGAAACCCCGTCTCTGCTAAAAGTATAAAAATTATCTGGGAGTGGTGGTGCGTGCCTGTAATCCCAGCTAATCAGAAGGCTAGGATAAGAGAATCGCTTGAACCCGGAAGATGGAGGTTGCAGTGAGCCGAGATCACGCCACCGCGCTCCAGACTGGGTGACAGAGCAAAACTGTCTCAAAAAATAAATAAATAAATTAGAAGAGGATACACAGTCAGTAATACATCTAGAAGAATCCTGACCTTGAAAAACGATCAGGGTGGACCAAGGTTTAACGATAGGGCAAAAACCCTATTCATCTCTAAAATTCAGGTTATGTAAAACTTCCCATTCTCCCCTGAAAGCACATAAAACAGACTCTCCTCCCAGGACCCAGGACTGAGCCCCGAGGTCACATGTGCACAGGAGAGGCTTTGCGCAGCCACGACCTGCAGGCGGTGCTGCCAGCCCCAGAGCCCTCCACCCCCTCAACGGACTTTCTTACAAGCTGCCAGGTAATTCAGATGCTGAACCAGAGCTGAGAACCGTCAGAGAAGGGGCTTAAAAGGGGAAAGATTCTTCCTGCCGTGGCTCATGCCTGTAATCCCAGTACTTTGGGAGGCAGAGGCAGGAGTATCACTTGAGTTTAGGAGTTTGAGACCAGCCTGGGTAACACAGTGAAACCCTATCTCTACCAAAAAAAAAAAAATAAAAAAAATAAAAAAATTAAAGATTAAATTTTTTTATTTTTTAATTTTTAAAAAATTAAAATTAAAGGGGAGGGGAGGGGAGGGGAGGGAAGGGAAGAAGGAAGGGAAGGAAGGGAAGGGAAGAAGGAAAGGAAGGGGAAGGGGAAGGAGGAGAGGGGAGGGGAGAGAAGGAAAGGACGGAGGGGAAAGAGACAGGGATTCCCACCACGTGGCAGATTCCACCCTCATGGACACACATTTGGCAATGGTTATGCTGAAGGCACTGTGTCTGGCACAGTGTGGGAAAGGGTGGGCAGCAGGCCATGAGGCAAAATCCCTCTCTCCTCTCTCAAGGAGTTGATATTGCCTATATTTGAGAAGACAAAATAAGCCATTGAAGGATAAGGCAGGCTGTGTTAAACACCAACTTGCTGCTGATCACAATGACGACGACGATGACATCGTCACCATTTCCAGGACACGGCACAATCCTGGATGTCCTCACCTTACTGGCGGCTCTTCATTCTCCATCACTCTACCTTCTTCCTCTCTCTGACCTGCACTTGCTGGCCATTGGCCATCTTCTCTACCTGTCCCCACTACTTAGGTGACCTTATATCAGCTCTAAAAACCGCTTCAAATTTCAATCTCCGTGCCGGTCCCCTCTTCCATATTCCAGATTCTCACACCCAGCTGTCTGCTCGGCTCCCCACTAAGCTGTCCGACGCATACCTCAAGCTTCCTCCGTCTGAACCAGAACTTGGTGTCCCTGGCTCTTCCTCCTTTGTTATCTTTCCATGTCAGGAGATGGCACCACTATTCACTCTGGGGCTCAAATCAAAATCCTCAATTCTTCTTTCACACACCCACCTCCAATTCGGTAGCAGCCACTCATTGCTCTGCCTTCAAAAGATATCCTAAGCCACCCCAGGCGTGGTGGCTCATGCCTATAATCCCAGCACTCTGGGAGGCTGAGGTGGGTGGATCGCTTGAGGCCAGGAGGTCGAGACCAGCCTGGCCAACATGGTGAAACCCCATCTATACTTAAAATAATAATAATAATAAATTAGCCAGGTATGGTGGTGTGCACCTACAATCCCAGCTACTCAGAAGGCTGAAGCGTGAGAATCGCTTGAACCCGGGAGGTAGAGACTGCAGTGAGCTGAGATCAAGATCACACCAATGCACTCCAGCCTGGGTAACAAAGCAAGACTGTGTCTCAAAAACAGTAACAACAAACCACTGCATCCTAAGTTGAGGGCTACAGCTGCTTCCCTCCAGGAGCCACCATGATCTCTTATGTGAGCCATGCCAAAAGCCTCCTAATCAGTTTCCCCTCTCCCCTTATTTCTTCTCCCACCCCTATCCTGTCGGACTATTCTCTATACGGCAGCCAATGTGATTCTCTGAAGATATCATTCCCTGCTCAAAACCCTCCGAAGGCTGTCATCCTATTCACAATGAACTCCAGCATCTTTTCCATGCCCACAAGTTTCTGTGGCTGACTCCCGTCTCTCCCACCCTCACTTCTTGTGTTTCTGCCGCTTGCTTGCTGGGCTTCAGCCCCTCCCTGGCCGTCTGGCTGTTCCTTCCTATAACACAGCAGCCTAGCTGCTGCCCCAGGGCCTTTGCAATCTTGCCATCCACCTGCCTGCCTTGCCCTGCCTTCCCCTGATATTTGGAAGGCTTATTGTTCACTTCACTCAAGTTTCTGCTCAAAAATCAATTTCTCAAAGAAGCCTTGACTGACCTCCCGATCTAAATAGCTTTCCTCTCTATTCCCTGTCATTCTTTAGCCTCTTACCCTACTTTATTTTTCCCTTTTGCATTTTACTTCCATCTGAAATGATATATTTATTCATACACTTATTATCTAGTTCCTTTTCTAGAATGGAAACTCCATGAGGGCAGGGACTTTGTATTATTGTCTCTGTATTCCAAGGACCTAGAATAATGTCCAACATGAGAAAGACAACCCTGGATTTATTAACTGAGAAATTAAATAATGTAATAAAATTAATAGAGATTTCTGTGTGCAGGCACAGTACCCAGACCAGTGTCACTTCATGTAACACCCACAATAATTACTGGCCCACAACATAAGTCACAACCATTTTTAGGTTTAAGAGCATTAAGGATCTGTACCCCTCTTTCTTCTAGGAAACCCTATTTACGCAGCAGCTAGACAAACGGGGTAAAGGCGGAGTAGCCAGACTCCCACTCCCCTGGCCCCAAGAGCAGGCTCTACCTCAGGCTGATGAGAATCTTTCCTTGGATTGTTAAACTGAGGGAAGGGGTCTTTTCTCTCTAGGGTGGAGCTCTGGAGATGTGAGCTGGGCACCATCTACAGCTCCAGTTCCAGCTTCCTGAGAAAGTCAAGGTAAGAGAGGAAGCAACAGGCAGAGAATAGCAGAGATGTGTGGAAGAATCTTGATGGCACTGAAGTCCCTGGCTCCTGTCTACCCCGAGGGACCCCCATCCCACCCAGTGAAATGAGATGATTCTATGAATTTCCATTTCTGCCCAAATAAATTTCAGCAGAGTTTCTGGCACTTGCAACCAAGTGTTCCAACAAAACGAAAGTCAGTGCAAATGCTTAGGCTCCCCAAGATTGGAGCTTCCTGTGTGTGCCCTGGAGCCAAAATGGCAAAGTGAGGAAAAGACAGATCCAGGGACGGATCTGGACAGCTCTTCCAGTCCCCTCTCTTCCCATGGCCATGTCGCGATCCCCAGGCTGACCACCTGAGGGCTGACCCAGGATGACTGAGGCTCTTACCTGGGAAACCTGACCCCTACAGCAAACACAGTGACACCCTTTTCCTTCAGCTGCTTGGCCGGCAGTGCCACGTGCCCCTGGGACTTCCCGTCAGTGATGATGATGAGGATCTGGGGCACAGAGGCATTTCTGCCTCCAGGGAACCCTCTGTGCAGAAGGTTTTTCAGAGCAAGTCCTGTCTCCGTGCGCCCTCCTCTGTGCACACCCAGAAAGAAAAAAGAAGAAAAGTGGGTGGTTCGGGGAGGTAAGGTTGGGATGAGAGCCTGAAATCGATGGGCTCTTCTGTTACTAGCAAAAGGTTGCTTTCTCCTAGCAGAGGCTGAAAGTGACAGTTCCACCATCTAAACCACAACAATGAACAGAAATTACTTTTTCCACGCACTTGAGATTCACCATGCACGTCTCTGTTGTATTCTGTAATAATGTCATTCTTTGTGTGCTGGGTGTGTTTATTTTCTCCTCCCCGAGTGATGACTCCTCTGATGGCTCTTGTCATTTATCTAACACCTGCCTCTCATCTCCTCATCCCTGCATCATCTCCTTGCTACAGCTCAACATCTTGGGTTGGGAAAGCAGATAACTGAGCTTAGGAAAACTGTGTGAGGAAGGATCCATAAGAGTGAAGGCAGGGCTTCAAGGCAAGGGTGTGATGAGTCTTTTCTGTGATCCAGGCCTTTGTGGGCCACGTCCAAATTCAGGGTTGGGAGCTGGAAGGCTGAGCTGTCTTGACCACCTCCAGATCAGGGCAGGTTACAGGGGTCCCATTTCATTGGGATGCCAATGGTCCTCTATTGGCTGTGGCTTGCTGAAAGTCTCTCACCCTCACAGCTCAGTTACAGAAACTTTTAACTGAGCCTGGAATCCTAGAGCAGGATGTCCGCTAAATCTCAAATTAGGAGGCTCCTGTAAGCAGCCCATCAGAGAGAGGACTGCCAGCTTTGAGTGTCAGCTGGACAGAACATAATGACTCACTACAATGGATTTCAGGTTACTGAATTGTGAGTCAGTCCCTGTTGCAGCCAAATCATTCAGCGGATGGTAGCCCATCCAAACATGATCAGCAGCGTGAGGCTGATGGAAATGCCGTGGTTATCAACTGTACCCTCAGACAAAACCCTGTGTGAGCATTATTCTGAAACAGTGACTAACCACAGACTCTAGATAGGGGATACATTTATACTCAGATTGTACCAATCACCATAAATTAAGGCAACGCCGGCCCGGCGCAGTGGCTCATGCCTGTAATCCCAGCACTTTGGGAGGCTGAGGTGGGCAGATCACAAGGGCAGAAGTTCAAGACCATCCTGACCAATATGGTGAAACCCTGTCTCTACTAAAAATACAAAAATTAGCTGGGCATGGTGGTGGGTGCCTGTAGTCCCAGCTACTTGGGAGGTTGAGGCAGGAGAATCACTTGAACCCAGGAGGCGGAGGTTGCAGTGAGCCAAAATCATGCCACTGCACTTGAGCCTGGATGACAGAGTGAGACTCCGTCTTAAAAAAAAAAAAATAAAAAATTAAGGCAATGCCTACCTTTAATTCAGCCCTATATCTATGGTCATCCTTCTCATGTGAAAACATCCAACTGGCAAGAAGCATGGGCATTGCCCACTGCATGCGTGTGTGTGTGTGTGTGTTATTTCTCATGCAAGTCTGACATGCATCCTCTTTCCCAGGCATCTCTCCTGGTTGGCTCCTCTCCAAGCAGCTACTCAGGAACCCAGGCTCCTTTCATTTTGTGGGTCCACCTTCCTCTTGGTCCTCAAAATGCTCTCTATTCAGCAGGAAGACAGGGAAAGAGCATGATGATTGTGCTTGGGAAGGATTTATGGGCCAGGCCTAGAATATTCTTCACTTCTATTGCTTTCTAACTTAAGCAAGCCCTTAAAAGGCAGTTTTCTTTGCAGTGCTCCATAAAGTTAAAAAATGTCAACAAGAGCTGATAATTCCTAGAATTACCAGTCTTGCCTATTATATATATATATACATATACACACACACACACACACACACATATACATACATACATACATACATTTGCATCGGTTAAAAATTCATTTACTTTTTTCAATCCATGGGTATTTACTGTGGATCCACTGGATGGAAGACAGAGACAAGGAAATATAACCATGATCCCACCCCTACAGAACTCCCAGTCTAGTTGAAGAAATGGGATCTACAAGACAGCAAGTCAATAGGAATACAAGGATGCAATTGATAGGAATTCGGAGAAGCAGATTCATCATGGGGCGGAGCTGTCAGGAAACAGGCGCCAGAGGGGAACGAGCTTATAAATGGGGTCTTGGTGAAATCAGCTGATCAGAAGAGAAGACCCTTCTGATTACAGGAAGGGGCTCAAGCAAAGACACAGGTGAGCAATGCAACCTGTGTTCTGGAGCCAGTGAGCAGAACTTGGCTTGGGCAATGGGTTTATCAAAGAAAAACAGGGCATACCAACATGGATGAATCATGGAAGAGGAAGACTACACCGGCGTCAGTGACTGCCAGGCAACCCCTAACTCCTCTCACACCCTGCTGAATCACACATTAGACACCGAAGACCACCAACCCGATTCTGATTCCCACTAATACTGTTTCCTTCACCAAAGAGCTCTTGTGTCTAAAAAGAGTGTTCCTCCAGAGCTCCTGGCAGGGCAGAATGGCTCCCATTTCTAAAGGATAATATTAGCACTGACATTCCACTTTGTGCCAGACACTTCACACACCTGTTACTGAATGTAATCCTTACAACCACGGTAAAAGGTACTAATACTACCCACATTTAACAAACAAGGAAACTCCACTCAAAGAATACTGATAATAACTGCCAAAATCTCCTGGGCACTTAGCATGTGGCAGGCGCTGTGCTCAACCTACGTTTATCTATATATGCTTAGCATATTCTCATATGATTCTCGCCACAGCTTTCTGGAATGGGGAGTCCAGAGAAGGGTCGAAGGTTATGCTGCTCCTGAGTGGTGAAGGCCGGACTTGAACAGAGAGCCCTCCACTTTGAAAGCCCAAGTTCTTAAACTCATCAAGACACCTGACTCGCATCTGGCTAGCGGAGTCAGAACTAGAGTTGAAGCCCAGTCTGGCTGATTTTGAAGCCAATGCTCTTTCCTCTCCAGGGGTCAGCTAAATCTGAACCGCTGCCAATTTTTGTCAGGTTTTATTGGAAAACAGCCACACCCAGTGATTTGTGTACTATCTACACAGAGTCCATTGACCAGCAAATACTTAAAATTATTTACTATACAACCTTTCACTGAAAAAGCTTGCCAACCCCTGTTCTAAATTATCCTGCCTAAATGCTCACAAAACTCTCTTCTTATCCAAAGCCAAGGTGCTTCCGTGGCCTTGAAGCAAACTGTGTCTCTACCCACTGGCCAGTGAGCCCTATGGCCTCCTGGCTGTGTTCTTGGATCCTGAGGTTCTCAACCAGTCCTTGCCTTCTCTCCCCAAAGCCTCCCCCTCCCTTGTGGCCCATCTGATCATTACCACTCCTCCTACAGGTTCGCAGCTTCAGGAGTGAAAAGAAAAAGCACTTGTTCCCACACTCAGTTCTGTTTCTCATAGGGGTCTGCCCTTGGCCCCTTCAGAGTTAAACTGTTTTTCCTTTCCACCTACCACCTGCAGGGCAAGGCTTGGGTTCTATCCAGATTTTATTTTCTTTTTGAGACAGAGCCTTACTCTGTCACCCAGAATGGAGTGCAGTGGCACATTCTCAGCCCACTGCAACCTCTGCCTCGCGGATTTAAGCAATTCTCCTGCCTCAGCCTCCCAAGTAGCTGGGATTACAGGCACCCACAACCAAGCCCTGCTAATTTTTGTATTTTTAGTAGAGATGGGGTTTCACCATGTTGGCCAGGCTGGTCTCGAACGCCTGACCTCAGGTGATCCGCCTGCCTTGGCCTCCCAAAGTCTTGGGATTACACGTGTGAGCCACCATGGCTGGCCCATCCAGATTTTCTAATGGTTCTGGGCCTCCCTCTTCACAACCATCAGCCTGTGGTTACAGAGAAAGTAAGTTTCAGGGACATGAGAGCCCAGCTGTCCACTGCACATGCCTGCCAGTGTTTACCCTTCACCTTGCTCAGCACAGTGACACCGATGCTGTCACCCTCTCTACCTTGGCACCGTGTGAAGGCTTCCCCACAAGAACCCTGTCTGCTGGCTTGAGACCAAGGTAAGGTGAGATTCCTCATGGCTTGACCTCTGAAAACTGAAAAGAAATCCCTTCACTTACTCCAGGGAGCATTTCTGCCTGAGAGTCTGTTCTGAGCTCACGGTCTGCTTCCAGATAGTAGGGCTCTGAGGCCAGAGTCTCACCAGGATTTTTCTAATTTGTCTCAAATTGGACTAAACTAGGTTTCAAGTTGAAGGCGCACAGATCAGCTACTGTCTTGCGGGGGTTATGATTGCCATGCATGAACTGTTGGGGGGAGGGAGGACTAGAATCAAAACACTTTGCTATCAGTGCAGCCAAGTAATTAAGACTATGAGCTCCAGAGTTGAAGGGGCCCAAATATTACTTCTGCAATATCTTAGCAGATATACTTGGAAAACTTACTTGACCTGAGTCCCAGTATCCTTCCATGTTAAAAGGGGAAAGAAATAGTATTGTAAGAAGATTAAATGCTGGGTCCAGCACCTCTGAGGACCTAGTGGGTAGCTGTTGCCAAAACGAACCCACAGCAGCCTACTGTAAAGTTTATCTTTTGAGTCTAGTCTCCAATTCTAGCACTCTTAAAAGTCTCTCAGATACAGATTTCAGGTCCTATTCCCTGATAATTTGTAATCTGGCCTGAGAATCTAGATTTCAAACCAGCACTCCCTCCCCACCTCACCTCCCTGCAAGTCATTCTGATGTCAGTAAGTCATGAAACAGACTTTGAAAAATAGTTCCTAAGAAGCCAGGCACAGGGGTTCATGCCTGTAATCTCAGCATTATTGGGAGGCCGAGGAGGGTGGATCACCCGAGGTCAGGAGTTCAAGACCAGCCTGGCCAACATGGCAAAACCTCATGTCGACTTAAAATAATAATTTTAAAAATTAGCTGGGTGTGGTGGTAGAGGCCTGTAATTTCAGTTATCGGGAGGCTGAGGCAGAAGAATCACTTGAACAAGGGAGGCAGAGGTTGCAGTGAGCTGAGATCATGCCACTGCACTCCAGCCTGGGTGACAAGAGTGAAACTCCATCTCAAAAAAAAAAAAAAAAAAAAAAGGGCGGGGGGGAGGGAAGAAAACCTCACTGTAGGTACAGCTTCTTTTTTTCAGCAATAGACAAAAATCCTGGAATTAACCTAAATGTTGCCTTTTAGGAGAATGATAAAATATATTTTGATAGCTGAACTCGGATTATTAAATAATCATTAAAAAGGACCAATGCGAAAAATAATATAGCTTTATGTAAAAGCACATACCAAATAATATTAAGAAAAAAAAGGACAAAATACTTTGTAATTCTAACTAGCCTAAAAGCCATATTAAAACGTTGATGTGGTTTGAAAGGGGCCCGGGAAGGCCATAAAGGATTTTGTGCTAAGGTAAAGTGGGGACAAAGCTATGGAGAGAGTCCGAAACATGCAGTCACAGGAAACCCGGAGTTGTGTTCCTGTGAGATTAATGAAATGAGCATGCCTGGGCAGCCAGCGGCCGGGAGCTCTGTGCATTCAGGAACCAATCACCAGCCAGGTTTTACCTTGATTTTATGTCATCATGGGGTGCAATGTTGGAAGGTTTGACTGTAATATTTTTTAAACTTCTTGCAAAGTAGCAGTAACGTGGTTGTCAGAGTAGTTTCTTAGCTACCTCAAAACATGCTTTTGGGAGACTGCCTTGGTCTAGAAAGTCAAGTGTCCTAGGTTTGGGTTGAGCTGCCCTCATCAGTCCAGCTTCCAACATTTCACTGTCGCTTGCTCGAGGGGATGGATACCCCATTTTTCGTGATGTAATTATTACTCATTGCATGCCTGTATCAAAACATCTCGTGTACCACATAAGTATATACACCTACTGTGTACCTACGAAAGCTTAAAATTTAAAAACAAAACTTCGCTGTAGAAAAAGAAGAAAGTGCCCCGGAGAGGTCATCACTCCCATTTGGCCCATGTTCCTCGTTCTGATTCATAACAGCCTGTCTTCATTTTTAGTGTCCTCAGTGACCCCACAACTGGGGCCAAAAATCCGCGCCTCCTTTCCTTGTTTGTTGTCACTTACGGTTGTCCTGGGATACATAAGTGCTAACCATACACAGCCCCAGAAGAGCTGACCTGGTTCAGACACCTAAGAAGTCTTCATTCTCCACCCCCAGTGTCCTCGATCTTGGTGTGTCTCTGCATTTCATGTCATAAATAACGGTCTCAAGCCTTTAGTTATGACCTCAAGACAGCTGAAAAGAAGCTCAACTAATTATCTGGGGTGAGGGTGTGGAAGAGGGAGCATGGTGGGAGGTGGGAAAGGACAGCTGGGCGGGGCCTACTGAATTGTCAGTGTAACCCGCTGATCCTGGCCAGGGCACCTGTTTCTTCTCAATCTCAGTATCCTCCTCTGTAAAATAAGGAGATGGAATACGTACTAGATGATCTCTAATGCTCCTTGGTCCTTTTTGGACCAATTTTTTGAGATTTGTTTAGTTTTTCAGACAAGAGCAGAGCTGAATTCCTTGAGTCAAAGTCACCCAAATGGTCTTTGACTTTGAGCCCTAAACTTAACCAGCCTTTTTCTCCTGAAAATGCATACTGCATGTAATGGGTAAAGTTTTTTTTTTAAACTACCTTATTGATATAACTTATACAACATAAAATTCACACTTTTAAAGTGTACAATTCAGCGATATTTAGTATATTCACAAAGCTGTGCACCCACCACCACTACCCAAGACCAAGGCATATTCTTTACCCCAAAAAGCAGCCCTGTACCCATTAACAGCCATTCCTCATTCCCCTCAGCCCTTGGCAATGACTCATCTACTTTTTATATTCATGGATTTGCCTATTCTAGACACTTCATTAAAAAAAAGAGTCATATAGTATGTCTCCTTTTATGCCTGGCTTCTTTCACTTAGCATAGAGTTTTCAAGATTCCTCCATGCTGTAGTGTGAATCAGTACTTCATTCATTCTTACAGCTGAGTAGTATTCCATTGTTTGGATATACCACATTTTGTCTATAAATATCAGTTGGACATTTTGTATTATTTTCATTTTGGAGCTGCTATAAATAACACTGGTATGAACATTAACATACAAGTGTTTTTGTGTGCACGTTTTTAATTCTCCTGAAGTGGAATTGCAGGGTCATATGCTAAGTCTATGTTTAACATTTTGAGGAACTGCCAAACTTTTTTTCCAACGTGGCAGGCATCATTTTACAATCCCACAAGCAACAGATAAGGGCTCTGCTTTTTCCACAGACTTATCAACACTTGTTTTTGTCAGTTTTTGAGCCATCCTAGTGGCTATATGGTAGCTCACTGAGGTTCTGATCTGCATTTCCTTAATAGTTAATGATGTTGACAATCTTTTTGTGTACTAATTTACCATTTGTCTATCTTCTTTGGAAAAAATGTCTATTTACAAGGTGTTTTTGTGAGGTGATGAAAGTTGCTTAACTCTATAAATATACTCAAAACCACTGAATTGTACACATTTAATGTGTTAACTTTATGGTACATAAAATATATCTCCATAAAGCTGTTTTTAAAAAGTTAGTGTGGATAACAGTCATAGGGAAGGGTGGGGAGTCTTTTAAAAGTGCAGATTCCTGGCTGGGCACAGTGGCTCACACCTGTAATCCCAGCACTTTGAGAGGGCAAGGCAGGTGGATTGCTTGCGCTCAATTCAAGACCAGCCTGGGCAACATGGCAAAACCCCGTGTCTACAAAAAATAGAAAAATTAGCCCAGTGTGGTGGTGCAGGCCTGCTGTCCTGGCTATTTGGGAGGCTGAGGTAGGAGGGTGGTGTGAGCCTGGGTGGTGGAGGTTGCAGTGAGTCAAGATAGCACCACTGCACTCCAGCCTAGGCAACAGAGTGAGACTGTTTCAAAAAAAAAAAAAAAAGCAAAAAAGCACATATTCCTAAATACACCAAGACCAGAGAATGATTCCACAAACCTGGGAGGAAGCACCTGCACTGTGTGTCTTAGTCAAAGATATGGAGCAAAGCTGAGACTATTCTCTGTAAGAAACCAAATATTGGAGGCCCCAAGGGCACAAAGGCTCCTGGGGAAGAAGAAAAGGCGGATGTGCACTAATATATTTTTTAAACACATATTCATGAGCTCTTTCCTTTTGTACTTTCTTGCATGATGACTTGCCCCTTAATCTGTTCAAGGGCAGAGGGAGGCGCTGGGATAGATAGTCTCAGGTAAAAGTCAGTGAGGGTTCCTAGGACATTCTTGAGGCCTGCAGGGCTCCCAGAGTCCCTCCTGTACCCATTGCAGGGCCTCAGGCTTCTTGAGGGCACTGGTAGACCTGCAGAGGCCTGCAACTGGGAAAAGGCTCTCAGAGCTCAGGGCCTTTGCAATGAAGGAGACAGCCATAAATGGCCATGACCATGGACTTCGGAGGATTTCAGTGGATACTAGTACAAGGGGCAGCAGGAGCCCAGAGTGAATCCAGAGACCAGGGTGGCAAGGGGCAAATCAAAGTCATTTTTCTGTGAGGGCTTGGAACACTATGTATGTGTGTGTGTGTGTGTATATATATATATATATATATACACATGTATAAATATGTGCATATGTATATATGCATATATCTATGTATCACATGCATATTTATATGTGTATGTATAATATATAAAATATTTATACACAAAACATAGGTGTATAAAAACATGAGTGCATACACACATCATATTCAGATGAACACATCAGCTAACTTATAATATGGGTAAAGCAAACATATGACTATACGTATATTTAGGGGGTGATATTGTTTGGATGTCTGTCCCCTCCAAATCTCATGTTGAACTGTAACCCCTCCTACCAGGCCCCAGGCCTATCAGACCTGGGGCCTGGTGGGAGGTGTCTGGATCATAGGGGCAGACCCCTCATGAACGGCTTGGCACCATCCCCTTGGTGATGAGTGAATTCACATAAGATCCGGTTGTTTTAAAATGTGTGGCCCCTCCTCCTCTCTTGCTCCTGCTCTTGCCATGTGATACACCTGCTCCCCCTTTGCCTTCCACCATGACTGGAAGCTTCCCGAGGCCCTTACCAGCAGCAGATGTTGGTGCTATGCTTCCTGCACAGCCTGCAGATGAGCCAACAAAAGTTCTTTTCTTCGTAATTTACCCAGCCTCAGGTATTTCTTTATAGCAATGCAAGAACAGACTAACACATTAGATGTGTATATGTATGAGCACATAACCAGATATTCACAATTTTTAAAGCACTCTCAATAACAGAGGGGCACTCTTTTTAGACCACAAAAACAAGGCTCAGAGAAGTGTGGTGAACTGTCCAGCTGCAGTGGTCACAAGGGACAGAAACGGGACCAAGACTCAGTGTTCTTCCTGTCCCTCCAGGCTCTAAATCCTATTTGTGACCTTCAACAGCACTTTCTCCTGGGTAATTGACAACTATGCCTCACAGCAGCAATTTTTTTGCTTGCACTTAAATTCCCACCTGGGACATTGTCATGCAATAAGGAGGGGCAGCCTTGAGCATGGAATTCGCATGACCCTCTGTGCCCAGCTAGGCTCCTGAAAGCAGCCCACAGTCCTCTCTGTGAGCCCAGAGCAGGGCCAAACCCTTCAAGGGAGCGATTTTAAGAGTAGCTGGCCTCACCGTAACCACAGCAGTATCTGATCATACATACTTGAAAACCATCCTCTTGATTTTTGCCTTCACTTCCTGTTGGGTTGAAAATGAATCCAAGGGGAATTCCAGATGAGGAGTGGAACTGAACTGGAATGCTCCCACTCTGACCTGCAGGAGGAGACAGGGGGTTCAGGGCCCTGAGACTGGGGTTGAGTCAAAAACATTCCTAAGAGGAAAGAAGGGGCAGGAAAGGTTAACAACCCTGCCTCCTACCCACTCAACAAACACCAGTGCCAGAGCTTTCTCCAGTTCCCTAGAAGAAGGCTCCAAAGACCCATTTGAAGAATCCGGAAAAAAAAAACACCAAATCTGTGTTCTGCACTGACAACCCCCAGTTCAATCTTCTTGACTTACCTCCTGCTAGGCAGCTGAACATTCTGGCAGCTTTCTCAGCTGAGTGTGTGCATCTTTAGGGCAAGGTCTCTGCTCACTTTTACCAACTGCCTCCCAGCTGCCAGTGCTATCTTGAGCAGTTTCATGCACTATCTCACTTAATCCACAGAGACACTATTAACACCCACATTATGGTTGGAGAAACCCCGATGTGGAGGACTGGCCCAAGGCAAGGGCTTACGTGCCCAGGGCTAGTAAGAAAGGCAGCCAGGTCATTGGACTTTGTGCCTGTGGTCTTCCCTAAGGCCTAGTTATATCTCCTGCCTTCTCAGTAGCCAGCACAGGCCAGCAGCAAAACGCTCACTGACCCAACTGGGGCTGCTGCAGAAGCTAACCACAGCCCCCATCACTAGTAACCCATCACTGACCACAGCCACCCACAACCCCATCCTTCACTGGGTGGTCAGCCCCACCAGGCCTGCTCCTGCCTAGCTAGACAAAGGCCAGGTCTCTAGACCACAGTCAGACTGGAGGGACAATCAGCATCCACCACTGAGACAACCAATATTGGGGCTGAAATTCTGTAATGAAGGAGTGAGAACACTGGTAAATCCACAGAGATTCAGTGTCCTAATTGAGGAAGCCATAGGAGATCCAATGCCTTGCAAAACTGGAGAAAAGACACAGAGTAAAGTTGCTCTCTGGATCCTTAAGTCACTAGCATGTCTTCAGCAGAGAAGGCTATAAATATTCAGGTTTCCTCCCGAGGCCTCAAGCCCTGCACCGAATCCTTAGTTCTCCAAAACCCCTGGAGAAATGACATTCTCCGTTACTATTCTCAAAACCAACCCTAGTTCTGGCCAAGACTGCAAATGGGCCAAGTGAGTCATGTTTAAGCAATGATGTTGCCTTCTGCTCCCCACTGGAATTTCCTCACTGCCGTTCCCTTGACAGGCCTGGGACTTGGGAGATGATGGAAATGCCCTGCCACACCAGGCCAGCTGCATCTGCTCTGGATCAGCGGGGTAGGGTTCCCTTTTGCACCCAGGATGCTCTGGGGACAAGCTGGTGGGTGCTGTAAGCAGGAAGAAATGTCAGTCTTCAGTGGGCATGTCGGGGAGATGGACACAGGAAAACAAAGCCACGTCTCGGGAAGAAGCTTCTGGGAAGGAGCTCTTGCTAGGTTTCCCTTGAAGTTAGTGTGTGATTAAAAACGGGCATCTCAAACCAGGGGGAAAAGATGATCTAGTCAGTCAATGATATTGGGACAACTGGAGAGCAATCTACAAAAAGATAAAGGGTAAACTACAAATGAATTCAAGATTTTGGTGTGAAAATGTAAATATGAAAGTTCTAGAAAAACTCGGGAGAATTTCTAAAATTTCAATGTGTAAAAGACCTTACTTTCTATTACTTAAAATCCAGAAGCCGCCCGGCGTGGTGGCGCACGCCTGTAATCCCAGCACTTTGGGAGGCCGAGGTGGGTGGATCACGAGGGTTAGGAGTTCAAGACCAGCCTGGCCAATATGATGAAACGCCTTCTCTATTAAAAATAAAAAAATCCAGAGGCCATGAAGGAAAGATTGATAAATGTGACTGCATGAAAAAAAACCCAACAACTTGTGCAGGACAAAACATACCTTAATGGAATGAAAGAAAAAAAAAAGAGGCAAAACGGAAAATTTATGTGCAATTCATGTTAAAGGGTTAGTTTCCTCAATATATAAAAGAGTATCTGGGAATCAACATATAAAAAACTAACAATCCAACAGAAAATGGGCAAAGGATATAAACAGAGAACACAGAACAGGAAATACAAAATAACTCTTTAAAGGAAAGATACCTGGCCTTACCATAATAAAATAGCATTTTTCCCCATCTGTTTAGCAAAAAACCAACTACAATATTTACAGGTTTAAACAAGTGTTCTCAAACATTGCTTGTAGAAATGTAAATTGGTACAGCATCCATGGAGGGCAATTTGTTAATATTTATTGAAAATTTAAAATGCACAGAGCTACTGGAAATTTATCCTACTTCCACATGTGAAATGTTATTTACGAGAGCACAGTATATTTTAACAGCAACTATCCATCAATAGAGGTTAATTAGACCTTGATAACTCCTTATGATAAAACATTTTAATGAGCTGTAAAAAAGTTATGCCTGTGTATACGGATATGGAAAGATTTCCAAGAAAACGTGAGGAGGAAAAAGGCGGGAGGGAACAATGTGTCTAGCAGGCGATCCTTTGTGTAATAAGGGAGGAAGAAGAATATATATTCATCTTGTCTGTATTTGCACAAAGTGATTCTGGAAGGGACTCAAGAAAACAAGTTGAGGGACTGGGCAAATGGAAGATGTGTGGGCGAGAGGGAGGCTTTTCACTGTACATCTTTTTATTGAACCCATGTGAATGAATGAATTAGTTGAAAAAAATAACCTCCCCTGAGACCAACAGCTGGGTGTATTTACTTGGGTTAAACAGGAAGAATGTAACTTCAAAACAAGAAGGAAGCAGCTTAAGTCAGTAGTTAAGGCATTTTGTTTAATTGGTGGTTTGGGAGCCAAATAGTTGCCTTTTATCTTTAGTTTACTGTATACTCAGAAACAGGTCCACCCAGCTGCCCAGCTGTCTCACCACGCTGTAATCACTCTGCCCCAGTCATTACATTAGAGCCAGGAAGTGAAGTTCTTAGCTTTTAAGTGTTAAGAGGAAGACTTCACATACCTTAAATCCAGCTCAACAACAGAGCATCCATAAAATCTTAATTTACAGCTACTTGACATTTCTTCTTGAAAACTAAAGTTAAAGACAGTAAAACTGGGCACAAATCAAATCCCTTGTACACGGACACAACAAAAATACAAAAACCACAGCAGCAAATACATAAAACCTGTGGCCACAAGTCAGACTGACCCACCTTAAATCGCCGTCATGCAAAATCCCTTCTGCAGCATGCCAAGGGCTCCACTTGACCTTGGAGGTCAAGACACTAACTCATTCACCCAAGCAAACACTCAATTCCTCTGCTTCCCAAGTCTTGCTGCGAGCAAGTTTTTCTCAAGTTAAGCCCAAATCTAACTCCCTGAACACCCAGACTCTACCCTTAAAAAACAGAGCCATTGTCCTCTCTCTTTCACATGAAAATGATAATCAGGTTCCCTCATTTACAGAAGTTTCCAGGCCTTTGGCTGTCCTGGCTCCCTCTCATGGGCACTGACTGTTTTGCCCATGTCTAACCAAAAAATCAGCCCCCAGGACTTAACGACACTTTCTACCTGTGGTCCAGCAACGTCCCGGTTAAATTCCCTGAACTCCGGGATCTGCTCCCAACAGCATCAGCCAGGAAATTTCTCGTCACAGTTTTCTTACACCACTCCCTCCACACACACATACACCGCCACACTGCTGGCCATTTGCTATGTGATAGCAGGGTGTGAATGCTGAGGGTCAAGACAAATGGCCTAATGGAGCAGGTCCTGGGCTGAAGAGTCAAAAACCCCAGTTCTTCCATACTTAGCTCTCTCCTGAGGTTGCTGTGTGATCCTCAGCAGTCACTTAGCCTCTCTGAACGTGTTCCTTCATCTGTGAAACATGCACTAATTATCCACAGGACTTTTCATTCCCAACTTGTCAACCCCAGGGTCTCCAGGCTACTCATTTCAGGACACGCTACATCAATGCCAAGTTCAACAGTGTTTAATCTTTATATTACCTCCTTCGTGAATAACTAGTGATGCTTTATAAAGTAGACTTTTAAAAGCAGGGTCCTGTGCAGAGGATGGTGGGGAAATGGCATTTCTTGGCCCTGGCCCTTTTAGGGTCTATGCTGGGTTAACATCATGGTTAGAAAACTTCTGGGCTGCTTGTGCCTAGCTTGAATGATGCCTGCTATGGTATCTTCAGAAGCAAGATGGTCTCAGCTCCAGGAGTGTGTTCCAGCTCCCAAAATGACACAGCATTCTGCAGAAAATCTGGCCCTCATGAAAAGCCACTTATGCTCCTAAATCCTAGAGGTTTTACTACGATTAATCTTGGAATGTTATCTTGGAAAACCACTTCCTTCCTCAACCTGTATGCAAATGGTCTCTAATGCAAGTAATTACAGCTTTTCCGGACTACAAGCTTCTTAATTTTTAAGTTGACTTTTGGGTAAGTTCATGTAATTCAAAATCCAGAAAATATTTAAGTTTGTATTGATGAGTCTTTTCTGGCCTTGTGCCCTATCAACTCACTTCCTAACCTCCCCATCAATGCAAAGCACCGTTTTCAGCCTCTTGAAAATCCATCCAAAGCATATACAAAGAAAATACAAAGATAGATTTTCATTCATCCCTCCTTATTTTTTACATAGAAAGTAACATGTTATACACACCATTTGCACCTTACTTTGACACTTCATTTGTTTTAGTGTTTTTCCATATCAGAGAGCTTCCTCACTCACTTTCTGGAATTGCCTAGTGTTTCAATATATGCATGCATCATAATGGATTTATCTGTCCCTCCTCAATGTACATCTGGATTGCCTGAAATCTTTTTTTTTTTTTCTGAGACAGAGTCTCACTTTGTCGCCAGGCTGGAGTGCAGTGGTGTGATCTCGACTTACTGCAACCTCTGCCTCCAGGGTTCAAGCAATTCTCCTGCCTCAGCCTCCCGAGTAGCTGGGACTACAGGCGCGCGCCACCATGCCCAGCTAAATTTTTGTGTTTTTTAGTAGAGACAGGGTTTCACCACGTTGGCCCTGATGGTCTCAATCTCTTGACCTCGTGATCCGCCTGCCTTGGCCTCCCAAAGTGCTGGGATTACAAGCATGAGCCACCGCGCCCAACCTGCCTGAAATCTTTTATAGTTACACACATAATGCTGCAATGAATAACTCTATATGAGTACTATTTTGCATGGGCATGAATATTTGTAGAATAAATTCCTTTATGTAGAATTGCTGGGTTAAAGGGTCCAAGCCTTTGTAACTGGGATGAATGCTATTGGATTCCCCCCTAGAGGCTGCACCATTTCACACTCCACCAGCAGTGTATGGGAACACCAGTTTTTTCAAGATTTGCCAATGAAGGATGTCACCAAATTTAGGTTTTTGCTAACTCAGTAGGCGAAAAATTGTACCTTAGGGAGAGGGTTTGCTGACGCTCTAAGTGACGTTGGGCTTCTTTTCCTTATGCCTAAAGGCCTTGCGTGTTTCATTTTCTGGGAACTGCCTGTGTTCCTTGCCCATTTTTCTATTGGATTGTTCATAAAAATGCACCTTTCAGAAATAAAAGCCACAGCTACCACTCTCTGCCATATTTAAGACTTACTATTTGAAGAACAAGAAATGAGAACATTGGCTGGATTCATCCAGGCAGTAGTTCCTCTCACGTGCGAGAGAGAGTAGGAGCTGTGCTTCATCTTCCGTCTGCTGAGGTAGTAATAGCTTCAATCTGCTTAGCATGCTTTCCCTTTCCCGTTGTTCTGCAAACACAACCTCTCTTTCTAGAGGAAAGTCAAATCCACTCCCTAACCCAAAAACGTGGCGGAGCTCTTAAGGTCTGGCCAGAAACTCTCTTCCCTCTGACTGCTGTGATTGGTCAGTGGATTATCATGTGACCTAGGCCTGTCCAATCAGAACTCTCCCTAGGACTTTGGCCATCTCTATAGAGAAATAAGTCTCCTAATTTTTACTGGGTCACTAGCTTGAAGAACAATGTAGGACAACTTGGCTATATCAGGAAAACCTGGCTGGGAAGGAAGTCAACCAAAAGAAAAAAATATTGAGAGATGGAGAAAGAAGAGAAAGATGTCTCAGCCTCAACTCAGTTCTTGGATCTCACCATGCCTGGAACCAGGATTCAGCCCCTTGGTCTTCCCAGCTCCACACGCCGGTAGATGCCTCCTCTGCTTGAGACCGGGTTTCAGAAGATGCCCTAACACGAACACAAAGGAGACTTGCACTCACCCTCTCGGGGCTGATGTCCAGAGCGTCACAGACTGTGATGGCAAAGTGCTTGGACCTTTCAAAGCTCCCTTTCCCGATGCTGTGAGACCCATCTAGCAGAAACAGGATGTCCACTGCAGCTGAGCACCACATCACTAGGGAGAGTGGGACAGACAGGTGACAACCAGCAGCAAGTGAGTCTCACTCCTGAAGCAGAGTGAAGGCAGAAACAACCTTGTGGTGGGCCGGCCTGCTGCCCCTCTTAGCATGAAAGGGGAGGACTAACCTGCAGAAGGTGGCCCTCCTCTAAAACAGGAGGCACACACACATGGATGTGATACTCACAAATGGCCCCTTACATGAAAGCCCTTGTATTATAATAATGGGAGAACATAGTTCAACACCACCAATTAAACTCTATGAGGGGGTCTACTGGGCCAGTGAGTGGCACTGCAAAGGCTTGGTCCCAGGCCTCAGGGAGCCACAATATAATGTGGACACAGGCACCCTGATATGTGAGGCCATGTTACCCAAGAGTTCAGCAGCAGTACTAGCAGCCATGTTCAGGGATACTGATTAGAGTGGAAGAGGAAGGAACATGGTAGGAGATGGGCATGGCAGGTAGCCACCTGGTTACCTGGTGAGCAGATAACAGAAATCCTTGAGGTATGGGCCAAGTAATTCAATAATAAGAATTTACTGAGGTTGGGCATGGTGGCTCACACCCAGAATCTCAGCACTTTGGGAAGGAAAGAGGGTAGATTAGTTGAGTTCAGGAGTTCTAGATCAGCCTGGGTAACATGGCGAAACCCTGTCTCTACTAAAAATACAGAAATCTATATGGTGCATGCCTATGGGCCCAGTTACTTGGGAGGCTGAGGATGAGGCAGGAGGATGGCAGTGAGCTGAGATTGTGCCTTGCACTCCAGCCTAGGTGACAAGAGGGAGACCCTGTCTTTTTTTTTTCTTTTTTTTTTTTTAAAAAAAAAAAAAGACTTACTGAGCTGTTTTTGTTTTTGAGATGGAGTTTCCCTCTTGTTGCCCAGGCTGGAGTCCAATGGTGCAATCTTGGCTCACTGCAACCTCTGCCTCCTGGGTTCAAGAGATTCTCCTGCCTCAGCCTCCCGAGTAGCTGGGATTACAGGTGCCCCATTTTGTTTTTAAACCAAGGAGAGTAACTTGGTCAGGCCCCTGTTTGGGAAAAATGACTCTGGCCACAGCATGAAAGGAAGATGGGAGAGGGGCAGAAACTCTCTGGGGGAACACAGTTCTCCTCCAGTCCATCACACAGAGGCCTGAGTGGGCATCTGGAAGGTGAGGAAGAACCTGGGCTTACTTTTGCTGGCAGCTGAAATCTTCCCAATGGTTTCTCTGCTTACATGGACTTCCTGGAGAGATAGAGATGGGGGCACTAAGAGAGAAAACACCAGAAGCAACCATTAAAATGCTGAGAGGGGAGGAGTCTCAGTCTCTGTTAAGTGACCAGACTGAACAGGTAACAGGAGAGAAACCTAGAATGTGAGGGAGTGATGATTCTTGCTTCTCAAAAATTACCAGACAGATAACACAAAGAAACCCCCCAGGTCCCCCAGTTCTGTGAGTTATCTTTGTATTTAAATGCAGGTACGTCAAACACAAAGAGGAAAAATAACACACAGTGGGACTCTGAAAAGTTTTGTCCCTGGTCAGGTGTAGTAACGGGAGTCCCTGGGAGGGCAGCTCCTTGCACTACCTCTAGGCACATCCTTGGAAGCTCCCTCACTATCCCCACCTGCCAGGTCCTGCAGGAAAGACATCTCACTGCCTTAAAAATTAACCTTAATGGCCAGGCCTGGTGGACGGACTCCAGAGACTTCATACATTTAGTCTCCACTAAAAATACAAAAATTAGATGGGTGTGGTGGCACACGCCTATACTCCCACCTACTCGGGAGGCTGAGACAGGATAATTGCTTGAACCCAGGAGCTAGAGGTTGCAGTTAGCCAAGATCGCACCATTGTACTCCAGCGAACTGTGCCTCTCTGCACCCAGTGCTCAGCTGTCATGGCAGGTGCCAGGCTTCAGGTGAGCCCACCTTGAGCCTGGGTGACATCTCCAGTGCTCCCTGTGAAATTTCCTCAGGACTGCAGAGGCTCTCCCCTGGACAGGCAGCTGCTTCATGTGTGACTGCTGCTGCTTTTTCCACTCAAGTCAGCAGCCCCCTCTAAAGACCAGCTGCCTGGGCTCTGGAACTTTTTTCCATTTTTTTTGTTTTGTTTCATTTTTTGAGATGAAATTTTGCTGTCACCCAGGCTGGAGAGCAGATGGGGTTTCACCATGTTGGCCAGGATGGTCTCGATCTCTTGACCTCATGATCTACCCACCTCAGCCTCCCAAAGCGATGGGATTACTGGCATGAGCCACCACACCCAGCCAGGGACAGAACTTTAATCTGTAGGATGTGTGATAATACTGAGCAGGCAGCATTGAGACTCACTAACCTAGTCAAATTCTTTCATATTACAGACATGACAGCCAAGTCTTAGAGGGAATTTCCATACATTCTTATCTTTCCAGAGAAGCTGAGCAGTAAGGTAAGGCTAACCCAGGAGTAGGAAGAACTGGGTGTTAGTCCCAGCTCTGCTACATGGCTGTGTGACTTTGGGCAAGTCACATGGCCTCTCTGGAACTCCCCTGCCTCGTCGGTACAATCCAAGGATGATCAGATCAAGTGCATGTGACCGCGATCAGGAGGCTGGACAGGGCCACAGAAGGCAAAGGTCCATGATCAGCTGGAACGGAACCTGCACTGTGCCTGGAACTCCAGAGACTTCATTCAGGCCCTAACCCCAAACACGTCTCACCACTCCCCAACTCCTTGGCCATGAAGCTATTGTGTTACACTTTCCATCCTCCCCACCTGGCTTAGAGACAGAGGGAAACAGGTGGGCTGGGCAGCCAGGCTGCAGCCACAAGCCCTCAACTTCCACCAGCCTTTCTGATCCCCGCTAGGTTCCAGGAAACAGGCAGGTGTTAACAGTAGGCAGTTCAGCAAAAAACAAATACCTACTCACAGAAACACAGACCAGGGAGGAACAGCAAGAAAGAATCCTGGATGCCACTGTGTTACCCCTCGACTTTGCAGAAGAGGATCCCAAGCCTCCCAAGTCCGCCTCTTCTTACTTGTAAGACAGAAATCTGCAGACACACATCAATTCCTTCCAACCTTCTCATATTTCAAAGAGGCTAGAACTTGAAAGGGACAAAGTAGGAAGTAAAAAGAAAGTTGATTTGCTCCATTATTCATTCATTAATCTACTTCCGGAACATAAACCATGAGTCACATCCAGTGCAGGCCCTGAGATAATACAGTGGTGAAGAAAGAATGTTAAAGAATGTACAGTCTCTTTCCTTGAGGAGCTTACATCTTACAGAAAAGATGTCATTTTTTAACATGCACACTAAACTCTTTTCTTTGTTGACTGCTACAGAGCAGGGGCTACAGGGGGCTTGAAGAGGGGGATGTGGCCTGATCCAGGAAGTCCTGGGGGAATTGTGTTGGGGCCAAAGGATGGGGAGGAGTTTGCCAGGGTGGCTTGCTGGGGCAAGGGGGTGATCCAAGCAAAAGAGCAGCATGATTCAGATCCTCTTTGGTGGGGAGCAAGGATGCAGGGCAGGACTGGAAGGAGGGTGGGGTCGTGGTGCAAAGGGCATGGGGAGGGCCCCCAGAGCGGACTCATGATGGCCACAGAATAAGATGAGACAAATACTCTTAAGAGCCACAGAAAGTCACTGAAAAGTTTTAGTTGGGGGTGAAGAGGGGTCCAGACATGATCCAATTTGCATTTTGAAATGGCCACTGTTTCAAAATGAAATCAACCTAAATGCCCATCAATGACAGACTGGATAAAGAATATGTGGTACTTATACACCATGGAATACCATGCGGCCATAAAAAGGAACCAGATCACATGTCCTTTGCAGGGACATGGGTGGAACTAGAAGCCATTCTCCTTAGCAAACTGACACAGGAACAGAAAACCAAACACTGCGTGTTCTCACTTGTAAGTGGGAGCTGAACAGTGAGAACACAGGGACACAGGGAGGGGAACACCACATGCTGGGGCCTGTCAAGGAATGGGGTAGGGGGAGGGAGAGCACCCAGGATAAACAGCTAATCCATGCTGGGCTCAATACCTAAGCGATGGGTTGATAGGTGCAGCAAACTATCATGGCACACATTTACCTATGTAATGAACCTGCACATCCTGCACATGTACCCTGGAACTTCAAAATAAACATAAAAAAAGAAATGGCCACTGCATGGAAGATGATCTGGAGGAGGACCAGGGACCCAGGGAGACCAGGCAGCAGGCCACTGAAGTGGTCCAAGCACAGGATGGCATGGCTTAGACTAGGGAGATGGCCACAGAGGGGAGAGATGCAGATGGATTCAAGAGACCTTTAGAATTGAAAATCAACAGGATTTGAAACACTCAATCCTACCCCCACCCAAGTACTCCCCCACCACCAATAAAAACATCTTACCTCTGAAAAACAGGAAAATACAGACGGTTTCCAGCAACAGGAAAGGGGGCATGTTGATGTAACTACAGGCCAGGAAAAGAAAGAATCAGCAATTAGTTCTGTGAACGCCCCAAGTCACACCACCAAGCAAGATGCCAACTCAGCCTTTTCCAGGTCACAGATATGACCCTAGAGGCCCTCACCGCAGTAACTACAGTGGTCTGGAAAAGACCCCAGTTCCCAAAGCCATGTGAGACTTTACTCCAATTACTTTCGTTTTAATGAGTCTAACATCTAATGTTAGTTTTAACGAATATGACATCTAATGTTAGATTTAACCAATCTAACATCTTCCCCAGGACGCCTCTCTCACCCACCTCCAAATGCACCCCAGCCCTCCACAACAGGCCCCAGGAAGGTTTGCTCTCCTGCTCTCCCCAGAGTTAAGAGGCCCCAGTCTTGGCTCTGCCTGGGCAATTTGCATTTTGAAATGGCCACTGTAAAGACATGGAATCAACCTAAATGCCCATGAATGACAGACTGGCTAAACAATATGTGGTACCTATACACTGTGGAATACTATGTGGCCATGTGACCCTGGCTAAGTCACTCCTTTCTCAGGGTCTCCATTTCTTCATGAGGAGTTATAATTCAACAGGATGAAGATCTGCTTTTCAATGTCCTCATGTTCTGAAACCTTCTAATGAGGTTAACAAACCTTTCCCTAGCTAACAAGACAACATCTGAAGAAAGCCTGTACTATCTACTAATAATCTAAATTATCTACTAATCATCTAAACTATTCATCAATCATAATCTGGCTGAAGAAATTTTTTTTTTTTTTTTTTTTGAGATGAAGTGACACTTCGTAGCCCAAGCTGGAGTGCAGTGATGCGATCTCGGCTAACTGCGACCTCTGCCTCCTGGGCTCAAGCGATTCTTGTGCCTCAGCCTCCTGAGTAGCTGGGACCACAGCCACATACCACCATGCCTGGCTAAGGAAAATTATCTTTTAAGAAGTTTTTTTTTTTTTTTAAGTGTAGGCCAGAGAGCCTACATAAGCCCAGGGGCCCTAGTCCTCATCCTGGTGCCCTGTGACCTTGAGAGAGGCTGTGGTTCCTCCCTTACAAAGTGAAGAAAATGGCCCCAATACGGCTAAACTGTCTTATGGTTTAAAAGTCCCATTGGATCATGGACCTATGTTTAGACCTCAAGATACATCCAGCTCTGTGGATTTTTTTTAGACATACTTATTTACTTCCGTGGCTTTCTATTTTAAGACGTAATTATTTATTTGCATATTTAAAGTTTACACACATGCCATGACTCCAGTGTTTAAAAAAAAAAAAACCCCTTAACAGCCTCTGAGACACATAGTCTCTTCTGTATCTCAAGCAAGTCCCTAAATAGAGGTAGAGCAAGTGTTCCTATTTTACACACTTTCATATGGGAGGTAAGTGGTTAAGGAGGACTAGAAACCCAACCAGGCCTACCAGGATGCTGGACAGACACAGAGCATTCCTATGGGAATGCCACCAGAGGAAAAAATACAAGTCTGTACAAAAATTTTTATTTTCATACTTAAGAAGAATTGCTACTCATTCCAACAGCTTTTCTAGGCTTGGCCAACCCAGTAAGTTACACACACACTCAAGTACCTGGAAGGTTATTGCACAGCTCCTTAACCGATCGAGTCGGGGCAAAGTGGTCACTTTCCCCACAGCCAGACTCTGGATTTGTCTCCTGTGAGGACACCATGCCTGGCACGGGTGGTGGGGGGTGGGGGGTGGGGGGTGGGGGGGGTGGGCGGCAGCTGTAGTGAAACCTTGCCTCCAGATTACAAACCAGTATAAGTAGCACAATTCTCATGGCTTTGTTCACTTTGGAGTGTCATGTTTGGTGATGTGGAGCTTTCTGAATAGAGAGGTTGAGGCACTGCCAGGTGCACAGTAGAACAAATATTTTCTGTGGTGCTCTAGACTGAAGGCGGCAGTCAGTGGTAAAATGTATGTCAGTAGCTCGTTCCTGACAGGTTACACAGCAGCCTTGGCTCAAGGATTCCTCCCCGTGCACAATTCCTACGACTGTGGGCTAGGTGATTCTTTGTTTTGGCAATTGGATGGTTTTGATGAATTTGCTGTGATCCAGGGGTGTTCAAGTACTTCTCTGAACACTGGTTCTTATTGCCCAGGCTGGAGTGCAATGATGTGGACTCAGCTCACTGCAGCCTCCACCTCCTGGGTTTAAGCGATTCTCCTGTCTCAGCCTTCCCAGTAGCTGAGATTACAGGCATGCACCACCACACCTGGCTAATTTTTGTATTTTTAGTAGAGATGAGGTTTCACCATGTTGGTCAGGCTGGTCTCAAATTCCTGATCTCAAGTGATCCATCTGCCTCAGCCTTCCAAAGTGCTGGGATTATAGGCATGAGCCACCGTGCCCAGCCTACCACATGATATTCTTTTGTAGGTCTCCTGGTATGTGTTTGCCTCAAAAGGAGGCTTCCCAACTAAAAATTCATAGCAAAGAACTCCAAAGCTCCAGAGATCCACCTTCTCCTCATGCATCTGACCTTCAGTCATCTCGCAGGGCAGGTAGTCCAGGGTGCCACAGAGAGTGGTCCTCCCGGAGGATGGAGCATACACTGACCCAATATTCTCAGGCTGTATGGTTATTTTCATGATGCCACCAGATTCTACCTAATTCTAGAATATGCACCACTTGGAAGAGTATAGAGATCCTTGAATTTCAAAGATATCCTGAAACAAACTATTATAAAACAAATGTCCCCACCAGCTGAGTGTCTTTGTGCAGGGTCTTCCTGCTTCAAATGACTAAGAGGCTCAAGCCTTCCCCTGATCTAAGCGAAAATCAGACACCCAACATGGCAAGAGCCAGGAAGTCAGGAGCTCTCCAGACATGATCAAAGGGAGAAAGGTGGTGGGGAGGTACTGGCCAGCAGCACCACTTCCTGCTAGCTTCCAGCCCTGCACATGCCATCAAGAAAGGACTCACGATTTCCCTTTCCCCTAAGAACAGTTTTCTTTTTCCCCCTTTTACTCCACACCACAGAGGTAGAACAAGCCCCCACTTGCTGCCTGGGAGTCAGGCAGGGGTGAGGCAGCGAGGATGTGGTGAAGAGCTTCTCAATGCCGTCTCCAGTTCTTGTGTTCAGGACGATTTTCTGGAGTTACAGCTTCTGACCCTCAGAATGACCCTGAGATTGAGGCTCAGGCCTGGTAATTGTTTATACAATAAAGATCCTAGCAGCCACCTCCCCAGGCTGCTATGTGAGGATCATGCGGAAGGAAGTACAGAAGGTTCCTGCCACATGGGAAGGCACCCAGTAAACACAGGCCCCTTCCCTCCATGCTGTGAGACCAACATAAACAGCTTCATCTTGCTCCGCTATGTGCCTCTGCTTGCCCAGCTGAATGGTTTTCCAGAGTTGCCCAAGTTTCTGCTCATTAAAACAGATTGTATGTTGGCAATCTGCAGATGCACCCAGCATGTCAAATGCCTTCTCCTAGCTGTTTGGATCAATCAGATAGTGTTGGCTCTGTAACCTCCGCAGCACCTCCCTCTCCTGTGCCCCTCAACACAATCCCTATTGTCACACAGCCCACGCCGAAACTGCCTGGTGATATGTTTGTCTTGACTGCCAGGTGGCAAATGCCTGAGACTACGGACTGTATCTTAGTCTCTGCTGAAGCTCGAGACCTGCCTGTGCCTGGTGTATTGTAGAGGAAGTTCTTGCTTGGTGGATAAACAAAGAGCCAGAATGCCTCCTGTAGGAGTGCTAGAGGGATCCTTCCCGAGGCATCACTGCACTCGCTGTGTGATAAACAAAGAGCCAGAATGCCTCCTGTAGGAGTGCTAGAGGGATCCTTCCCGAGGCATCACTGCACTCGCTGTGTTCACTGCATTTTTTTTTTTTTTTTTTTTTTTACCAATATGAATGAAACAAATGCTACCGTGATGCTGGTGAAGCACTGTTTGCACTCTATTTCCACCCAGTCGTCTCAAATATGTAGCTCATTCCCTTCTCATATTCAAATTTTCCTACAATACTAATTTGATCTCCAAAATATAGCCCTATGCCTGGAAAGCTTTTTTTTTTTTTTTTTCCAAAGGATGAATTCCACAGTAAAAATCAACAGCTTCTGCCATGTAGTGAGCATTTCTTGTGTGCCTGCCGCCAGCTTCCACCTTTCGTGTCTTCTCTCCTGATCCTCGCAGCCAGACAGGGAGGGTGTATTATCCCCATTTCGCAGGTGAGAAGGCTGAGACATGAAGAATGAAGTATTTTGCCCCAGCTTACACAGCTAATCAGTGGATCAGATTCCATTCTGACCTCCCAGCATCACCTTCCCAGTTCTGGGGAAAGCAGCCTCAGAATGTTCAACAAGGGAGAGGTGTTGGGGCTGCGGGTAAGAGGCGACACTGTGGCAGAAGTCCAGGCTCCAGAAAACAGGCCATGAACTAGGGGCAGTAACAGAAGCACAGAAGCATAATTTAAAAAATCTGCCACCCAGAATCCCACCTGTTGGCAATTCCACACACCCACCCCAACCCCAGCTAACACCTGCCAGCAACTCCCAGGCTCCATCCAGCACAAGGTGAGATTTACCAGGGCCCTCTGCCTTCCTACAAAGTAGTTGGGAGTGATCAGCAAGCCCGGGGCTGGAACAGACCACCCGTTCCCAGGTACACCTCGTCAAGCCTTTTCCATTACAGCATCTCGCTCATCACGTTGTGCCCTTCTGTTCCATGACTCATGCTAATCCCATGTGTTCTTCCTGGCTTCTGTGTTCTCATCCAGGGATTTAGATGCTCCCCGTGCACATCCCTGATCTTCTCATCAGAGTGTGGCCTTTGGATCCTGCTTCCACGCAGCACCAGCTGCACTTGGGACAGCAGGCACGTGGAGGCTGCTGCAGGATGCCACAAAACTTCCCACTGTGCACTACCCAGAAATTACATTTCCCGTGACATAGGAACAAATAAAAGCCAAAACAAAGCTACTTTTTTAAAAAAAAAAAAAAAAAGAAGGGCCGGATTGGGGATAGCTGAAGACAGTTTTGCAGGATAATGACTGCCTTCTCTAGGAACGGAAATGAAATGAGTGGAGAGAAAAGGAGGAAACCACTTCTGCCTCCTCACAAAAACCAAATCCAATCCCAAATAGTTAGACTGGCTCTCGGCAGCCTCCTCCGAGTCAGCAGGATGGAAATCAGAGCCCTTTACGAGAACACTACACGCCTGAATGAGAAGACTAAAATCAGAGGTAAAAAATCTCCGGCGGGGAAGTCCTTGCCATAACAATCATCTTCCTTGTCCCTTTGGCTAAATATCTGGCTCAGGCCCAGAGAGTCAACGGATGTGGACGACAGGCTTTTAGTTTGACATGGCAGGGAGAGCATTTTAAAAGCTGCTAGGGGAAAGTCACGCTCCCCCAAAATAATTAGTAAATTTTCAGAACCCAGCAGCCTGGCAACCAAAAGTCAGCACCAAGGAATGAACAACATGCTACCTGTGAATTCCCTGGAGGGTCAGGCAGAAAAGCTGGGAAGATGGGCACAGATCACAAGCCCTCCCACCCTCTCTGCATCTGCAGAGACAGTTTTAGCCAGAAGAGAGTTCATGTTTGTTTTGATGGGCCATATTTTAAAATGCTTTAAATTGTACACAATCTGAATTCACTGTATGGGACACTGGGGATTAGCCCTGAGGTAGGGGTGAACACAGGACCCAAAGTCCAGAATGAGGATTCCAACCCAGCTCTGCTCCTAGCACCTGGGTGACTGCAAGCAACAACCTCCCCTGCCTAATGGGGAGAATCTCAGTTTCATAAACTCGCCCAGCGTTGTAAAGATCCAGTGAGATAGGGTAGGACAGTCTCTGCTAAGTAGTAAAACACTTTCTAAATGAATGGTGTTAAAAGTTTATCATTACGTTTAATATATTCATTTAAATACACTCATAACCTGTAGGATAGACATTATCACATCCATTTTTATAGATGAGGAAATGGTCTTGGAGAAGATGAGACCCAAAGCCACAGAGCAAGGAAACCTCAAGCTTAGAGTCCAGCCCAGGACTTCTCAGCTATGACCAGAGGCACCGGTATGCAGAGGCATGGGTATGCAGAGGCAAGCGGTACACAGAGGCACGTGGTACGCAGAGGCATGTGGTACAGAGGCATGTGGTACAGAGGCGTGGGTACACAGAGGCACTGTGGTACACAGAGGCACATGGTACACAGAAGCACGCGGTACAGAGGCATGTGTACGCAGAGGCATGGGTACACAGATGCACTGATTTGCAGAGGCACTGTGGTACACAGAAGCACATGGTACACAGAGGCATGTGGTACAGAGGCATGGGTACGCAGAGGCACTGGTATGCAGAGGCACCGCGTGTGGTGCACAGACACTGAAAAGAGCAACCATCTGATGGCAGGACACCCAAGCATGAGCCTCCTGGGTAAATTCCTTCACTTCAGTCTCTCAGTTTCCTTCTACAACAGAGGTGACAAACATCCATCCTATTTCCCTGGAAAGGCTGTCACCAGGATCCCAAGAAACAACAATGCAAAGGCTCCCAGGACAAGGCGAAAGTTTCCTAATTTGACAGCAGGGAAATCTAGTTCAAGAGAAGAGACTCATGATCACAAAAGTGGAGGACTGAGGGCAGTAATCACATTCCACGAAAGTCAGCAGGTGACGTTGTGGGTGGAAGAGGAAAAGTAGGCAGTCCAGCTGTTTAGGAGATGAAAGGGCACAGAAAGGAAGGAACTTCAAATGTATTCAGCTGTCCCAGTGTCCTGCTTTGGGGTTATACAGAAATATTTTGCAGGGAATGCATGTACAGTCACCAAGAGACTTCCAATAGCCTCCTTGATGATGTAGGGAGTGAAGGGGGAGGGAGATTTATTTTTAAATAGCCTTATTGGATAAAATTTAAAATGAGTGATTCTACTGCAGCCCTCCCAATTAAACTAGGTTTTCACTTACTGATACGTGAACTACAGAAGTTTGAGGACCACTGTTCTAAAACAACCTCGTAGGGTTGCTGACCCTCCCATTGCTATAATTATATGAAATTTCATTTATCCAATAAAAATTATTAAGCATCTGCCCTGTGGCCAGTACCCTTCCAGGTGCCAGGGATGCAAGGACAATGCTTTATAAGATGCACACACGGCAGGAAAGTTATTTTAAAAAGGCATTTTCACCAGGAGCTTATCTCCGATGCCATCACGGCCACATAGCGATTGTGCTGTTTAGCATGCTCACTAAAAAGCCCGAAGGGGAAACGTCAATGTATAGTACTGAGCAAAAGACACCAATCTGAAAAGCTATGTACTGCATGATTCCAATTATAGCCATTCTGGAAAAGGTAAAGCTATTGAGACAGAAGATCAGTGATTACCATGGGTTGTAGGGAGGGTGGGATGAATAGGTAGAGCACAGAGGATTTTTAGGGTAGTGAAACTATGCTGTTTGATACTATTATGGTGGAATTACATCATTTTACATTTGTCCAAAGCCACAAAATGTCAACAGGAGCAAACCCCAGTGCAAACTGTGAACTTTGGGTCATGATGTGCCAATGTCGGTTCATCAATTGGAACAAACGTACCACTGGAGTGGGGTATGCTGATAATGAGGGAAGTTGTACATGGGTTGGGACAGGAGGTATATGGGAAATCTGTACCTTTGGCTCAGTTTTGCTTTGAACCTAACACCCTGAAACTGGGTCTTGGTTTCCTGATCTGTAAAAACATGGGCTTCTGACTATGATTCATTCCAGGGGCCTGTGCCTATTGAAGGGAGGGGAAATAGTAGCTGTAATCTCTGGATGGTAGACCAAAAACCAGATTTAATGGAAATACACTGATGTTTTTCAGCCAGATAAAGATGATGAGGAAAGCAATCTTCTTCTCCAACCTGGGAACCGCCTGGGGACCCAGTCTGAGAAATTCTTATACTACGAGATGGGAGCTCTGGGCTGGATTTCTACAAAAAAGTAAGACCCAGGGAGCTCTGTACCGCCATCAGTCACAAGAGAGGCTGGCTTCAGGCTGCTGGAAGCCAGCATTCACAAATTCATGCCTGTGGCTTCTACCAACTCTAGTGATACCTCTGTGACCTCTTCACTTTTCTGACTCTTCAATAAGTCGACATTTCTTAATACAGTGTCACCTTGAGAGCAAAAGAGATCTTGAATTTTTGGGAATGAATCTATAAAACACTTAGAGGTTGTGGTGTTTACCTGAAGCAGCTTATAATTTGAAAATCATACAGGTTCTAATTATTCTAATCTCCAAAACATCAAACACATGGCATGGTGTCACCATGGCAAGGCCCCTCCAAGCTGGAGCCCTGGATTCCACCATCAGAGGCAGCAAGGTGCCCTCCTCCCCTCTCTTCTGTCTAGTGGCCCCAGCAAGTTTCCAAGGTGCCATTCTGAGACCCTCCCATTCACCGTCCCAGCAGGTGGCCAAGGGCCCAAGGCAGGAGGGAGAGAAAGGTCAGCTTAGCTAGGGAAAGGTTAGCCTTATGAGAATGGAAGGAGACATGCAGGGAGCAGGGCTGAGCCTGGTGGGGAAGTCACTAGGACGACAAACTCCTGGGGTTCCCATTGCCCAGGCGCGACTGTCTCAGGGCAGCCGGCCCCTCTCGGGTTCTGTCGCAGACACATCGCTGGGGCACCCGTTCTGCCTGGGAAACTGCCCCGAGACCCCTTAACAAGTTGTGTACGTCCTGTAATAGGGTGTGGGGTGGAGGCGGCACGTCACCAAAGCCTTTATTCAAAAGGCGAGTCCCTTTCCGCGGCGGCCAGGGAAGGGGGCCCTGCCACTGTGCCAGGCGAGCAGCCAGGTGAGCATGCCCTCCTCCACTCCTGTACCCGGAGCCTCTACCCCCTTACCTGCGGACCGCGCCCCTCTCCAGACTCGCCCGGGGCGGACCGCGAGAGGCCAGGAGGGAGGCGCACGCCAGGTGCGCTCTTTCCCCAGTGCCGTCGTCCCGGGAAGGCCGCGCTCAGGTGCGCGCAGACAAGCGAACAAAGCCCGCACCCTCCGCGGGGCCGCGCAGCCCTGGCGCTCGGGACAGGGGCGGCCCGGCAGAGCGGGCCTCTGTCCTGACAGCGCGAATCAGGCAGCGGCAGCCCCTGCCGGGCCGGCTGGCGGGGACCCGGGTGCCAGAGCCAACTCGGGGCTGGGACTCACTGGAAGGAGCGCGGCGACCAGCGCTCAGTTCCCCGGGCGACTCGGCTCGCAGGCGCGGGGCGACTTGAGCCAGGGGGCGCTACGGGCCTGCAGGAGGGGCACCCCAGGGCACTGCTGCCACGTGGGACACCTGTTTGTCTCTCCCAGGAGAGGGCAGCAACGTGGCCGGAGGCACTCCCACCAGGGAGGTGCATTGGGCACTTCTGGGAACCCGGCTGGCCTGGCCCCTCGTCCTTTTTAACGCTGTATAGGCCAAGGTCAGCAAATAAAGCAACACTTACTTCTACGCAGGACATCCAGCCTCTGAGCGGTGCAGCAGCGAACACTGTGCCATCAGCTGACTCCTCTGCGGGTTTGTTGCTCCTCGAAAAAATGTTGACTTTGGCATCTTTCCTATTTGTCATGGCAACTGCCTTTTAATTACCCTCCTTAAGTCTAGAGGGTGTTTGATTTTAAAAAATCATATGCCACAAAGCACAACGCCTGGCATGACCCTTTATATAAAGTCAGCTCTATGACTGCACAATCCATAATTTCCATATTGTACTTCATTTAAAAACTGTCAGGGCATAGTATCTGCTCATTGCAAAAAAAAAAAAAAAAAAAAAGTAACAAGCAAGTTGATAAATTACTCATTTTCCACCAACTAGAGATAATCACTGTTAACATTATGGGTGTAATGTTGTTCTACCTATGCAAAACTATGTTATTTTTAGTTCATTTCATACAAGCTGTACATTAACCAGGATTTCCACTTCCTTGTGTGAACATCTACGTTTTGAGTCACTACATAATGTTCTAATGTACTTAATCTATCTGCTATTGTTGAATATTAAACATTCCATTTTAATACAATTAGATGGATTTATGCTTTGGTCCAATTACTTCCTTGGAATAAACTACAAAAAGATAAATTTCTGGGATACAGGGTTTATACGATTTAACACTTTTGATGCATATTATCAAACTGTCTTCAAAGAAGGCTGACCTGCTTCCTCTTTTCGATGCTGCTTCTCATAATTCTCATGTCAATTTCATAGGAAAATAATTTTGTTTACACCTTTCCTGTCTGTAGTTCTCAGTTTACAAACAGTTGACAGCTTCCTGTCAGAGTGGCCCATGGTGACTTTAATGTCGCAACCTCACTGAGGGAGACTGGGGAATGACTCATTTTTCCCTTAATTCATTTATCCCAGTAACATTTATGAGCACCCAAAAGTAAAAAGAGGGCCACACCATAGCAGCAGACATAATGTACTAGCATGTCATCCCCGCAGGGGACAGCAGTTAGTTTTGAGGTCTCACTGCTGGGGAGGGATGGTCTGTGTCTCTAGATCAGCATTGTCCCAGATAAATATTGTGCAAGCCATGTAATTTTAAATGTTCTAGTGGCATTTTTTTTTTAAGTGAAAAGAAACAGGTAAGCTGGATTTCAATATTATCCTAAAGATCCAGATTATCTCAACAGGTAATCAATAAAGATGTTTTATATCGAGCCGGGCGCGGTGGCTCACGCCTGTAATCCCAGCACTTTGGGAGGCTGAGGCGGGTGGATCACGAGGTCAAGAGATCGAGACCATCCTGGTCAGCATGGTGAAACCCTGTCTCTACTAAAAATACAAAAAATTAGCTTGGCATGGTGGCGCGTGCCCGTAGTCCCGGCTGAGGCAGGAGAATTTCCTGAACCCAGGAGGCGGAGGTTGCGGTGAGCCAAGATCGTGCCATTGCCCTCCAGCCTGGGTAACAAGAGCGAAACTCCGTCTCAAAAAAAAAAAAAAAAAAAAAAAAAAGATGTTTTATATCGTCTTCAAAATCCCGGGTTTTTTGTTTGGAGACAGTCTCACTCTGTTGCCCAGGCTGGAGTGGACCGCTGTGATCCTGGCTTACCAAAACCTCTGCCTCCTGAGTTCTGAGTTCAAATAGTTCTCCTGCCTCAGCCTCCCAAGTAGCTGGGATTACAGGCATGTGCTACCATGCCCGGCTAATTTTTGTATTTTAAGTAGAGACAGCATTTTGCCCTGTTGGCCAGGCTGGTCTCAAACTCCTGACCTCAGATGATCCACACACCTTGGCCTCCCAAAGCGCTGGGATTACAGGTGTGAGCCACTTCACCCTGCCAATCCTGTTGTATTCTATACTCACAAGCACATCTCAATGTGGACTCGCCCCACTTTTAAATGCTCAATAGTCACATGGGGTGAGTGGCCTGTGCTGTTCCAGAGGAGACATCCAACAAGGGCAGACCCCAGGGCCTCAAGAAAGTGGAAATTCTACCTTTGACAACCCTCTCCCTGCACCCCTGACGCCGTTTACCAGGTGCCAGCATACTTTTGCCTAATCAGCTTTACCTTGGAGAAGTCAAATTTCAATCCTGGTTATTCCTGAGATTTGGAACGTCTTTAATCGGGGGGTTACTTCACATTTTCACTCTGTGATTAAGAAGAACTGATACTATAAATACGGTGAAGATACCTTTTGCTTCAGACTTCTTCACATCAATGTATAATCAGCCTGTCTGGGGTGTGCAGGCGGGAGGGAAGGCAGGTGGTGCAGGCCCCGGAGAGTGCTGAGTGGGTGACCAGCAGGGGTGGAGGCTTTTTCTGCAGAAAGCTAGGTAGCTACTTTTGTCATCCATGACATCCCTTCCTTTGTGAAGATTTATAAGGATTTAAAAAATAAAGTTATTATGAATTCCCATCATCCAAAAGGGCAGGTAAGCTTCTTGCTTCCCAGGGGCTTGCCTTATTCATCTTTGCAGTCCTATGCCCAGTAATTTGCACACAGTAAATACCCTCTGAGAAATAAAATTCCATGTCCTCCACTGACTGAAAGCGCCCTCTCTTGCCCAAGGAGACCCCAGAGAATTTTTTTGAGTCTCGCTCTATTGCCCAGGCTAGAATTCAGTGACTCGATCTCGACTCACTGCAAACTCAGCCTCCTGGGTTCAATAGATTCTCATGACTCAGCCTCCCGAGTAGCTGGGATTACAGAAGCCTGCCACCAGGCCCAGCTAATTTTTGTATTTTTAGTAGAGACAGTTTCACCATTTTGGCCAGGCTGGTCTTGAACTCCTGACCTCAAGTGATCTGGAGAAATCTTAAAAGCTGAGGTTCCAGACATGACTAGAAAGGAGGCAGGACAGTTTGTTACACCTGCTGCTTCACTAACGGACATTATGCTTTTTTTTTTTTTTTTTTTTTTTTTTTTGAGAAAAGGTCTTGCTCTGTTGCCCAGTCTGGAGTACAGTGGTGTGATCTTGGCTCACTGAAGCTTTGACCTGCCTTGACCCTGGGCTCAACTAATCCTTCCACCTCAGCCTTCTGACTAGTTGGGACTACAGGTAACATGCCACCACACCAGTTTTTTTTTTTTTTTTTCGTAGAGATGAGATATTCTTGTGTTGCCCAAGCTGGTCTTGAGCTCCTGGGATCAAGCAAACTGCCCACCTCACCCTCCCAAAGTGCTGAGGTTACGGGCATGAGCTACAGTACCCAGCCTTCTTTCTTAAGGGTTAAACAGAAACTGGCCCTTCGGGAAAGACTTGCTCCACCCCTGCTATTTTTGAGGGTCTCACTCTATCCCCGAGAATGAAGTACAAGTGGTGCAATCGTAGCTCACTGCAGCGTTGACCTTCTGGACTCAAGCAGTCCTCCTGCCTCAGCCTCCAAAGTAGCTGGGATTACAACCACGTACCACTGTACCAGTTGCTTCGGGTAGAGATGAGGTGTTGCTCTGTTGCCCTGGCTGGTTTTGAACTCCTCAAACTCAAAGGATCCTCCCACAGTGTTGAGACTGCAGGTGTGAACCACTGCACCTGGCTTCTACTCTTGACATGAACCAACCACTTGATGCTGCCCCTCCAAGTCTTTAACAAACCAACCCACTAGCATTCCTTCCTAGGAGACAATGGACCACAGAGTGGTTCTGGCTAGTTTATCAAGATGCACAATGAGGGTTGTGTCCTCGGCTTCACCTTTTGACCTAAGAGGACCAAAAACTCCACCCCAGAATCCTGCTAATGCCATTTTTTTGTACATGCAACTCATGAAGAGTCATAAAGGTTAATTGTACATGCATATCTCCTTTCACAAATATTCATGACTCTTCCTATAGCTTATTGTATATTTGGAAACTCTGTTCAGCATAAATTCCTGTTTTATTTTTCCCACCCTGCATCTGTTTCTAGTTTCTGGCTGGAGGCTATATTCCCCAGACCGTAGCAATGGCCACCCTGCAGGTGGCCATGCTTTATGAAAAATCAAGCTCTCCTTTCCAAATTCATGAACTTTCTCATTCTTCAGTTGACACCTTCTACAATGTTAACTCTCAAGTTGCCCTGTACCGTGTGCCTCGATTGTAAACACAAGACACATGACTTTGAATTTCATTCAGGGACAAGTAGACATCTGTACTTGGTGACATGCATCATCATGAGGCACCCATTGTACTAGTGACTGTGGCTTCATAGATTGGGGGAGGGGGGGATCCTGCCTATTGGCTTTGTAACACAGAGAAGATTCTTCACTTTTGATTGCTCAGTTTCCTGACCTATCAAGGGTGATGGGTACAACAGTTCCTAACTCTGCAGAACCCTAACTAAAATTCTGTGATCCAGTGCCTCAAATGAAAGGTAAAGCACACATGAAAGAAACAGACACAAAGAATGCTTAATAGGGCTACGAGAGTTGTGTATTTTCCAGAAGCCACATAGCAGCCTTTAGACATGCCTCTCTAAATGTGTTCCACGAATACTTACTTTAAGGCAGACGTATGTATGTGAAAACAAAAATTCATGATACTGGGAATTTGGAGAGGAGCTGGATATAACACAGAAGTATTGACAGTTTGTTAACAGCCCTCTTACTGAGAAATAAAGTAACAGGAAACAGTACTTATGAAACAGCAAAGAAACCATCCTAAACAAAGGGCCTGACTTGGAAGTGCTCAACAGGCAGCAAATTAAGCCACAGTTTAATTTGGT